GAAAACCGTAGGCTGTGCATTCGCATGTGTGCTCTCAAAAACAATACAGCTGGTTTACCTTCACGATTATACCAACAATGATTGCAAATTGCTGGTGGCAAAATAAATAACCGTATCGCAAAGCAAACAGACCATCCCCATATTCACATGGGTCCATGGCTATGATAAGGCTTTTGGCGAATCGAATGTGTTGGTTTTCTTTATACACGCACCGCCTGTTGCCCCTTGAACGCGTGATACCGGTCTTCCTGGGGATAAGCTTTTTCTTTCTACACTTCTTATTGGATCGCATTCCTAACACTATCCGCTTTTACCCGCCATTGCCTCCTTTCCACCTACCACTTCCAGATTTATTTTTTGTCTTTGTTGATAAGATAATTTGTTACAAGGTAGCGGTGTTGATACCTTTAACAGCCGCCTTTTTCTTTGTGAATAATGGTAGCTTATAAGATCACAGAATGGCCGTCGCCGGCTACAAGTTTCTTTAAGTGATACGAACGACATAGAGCTATGGATGAATGTCGTCGGCGCATATCGGATTATGGCCGTTCATTGAACAAGTGTCTCTTGTCCAGGTTACCAACTATAATCTTGTGCGAACATTCTTTCACATCAATTGTTTACTGATAGTACTACGGTGTATTTATTATCAGAGGCTTCGGTGGACTTATTATCAACATGTCTGATAATCTTTTAAGCTCATATGAAGCCTTTCCGCATCTGGCACACGACCTAGTTCCCTTGGACTTCATCCGAGCTTTGACAAACAACCGCTTCCTTCACCAGCTGTTTATCAACCAATGAAACAAGGTGAGCCATCCTGTATTTTTCATCCCTATGATTCTAACCGTGTTGCTTTTGTTTACATTCGAATAAGAAGTTCTTTGTTTATTATGTTGAAACGTTGATGGTTGAGGTGTTTGTGTTTTTAAAGGCTTGTTTCGAAGAGCAGTGGCAACTCCGCGGTTGACTACGGTTTGTTTATGGTCAATTCTGAACTGGCTATGTCTTGATTTTCCCCACTGCTAGATAGCCGGAGACCCCAACTAAATATACTGTCTTTCTCTTCTCTTTTAGAATCTCTTCTCTTTTAGAAAATAAGTTTTCGAATTGCAGTCGCACTATGATCACGCACTGTTTCATTTTGTTTATGCAAGACTGGACGACAGATTTTTGACTGGTGGCACAGTACAAACTATCTTTTTTGTGGCGTTTGAAGGGGCCGTTGTTTGTTTATCAAGTGCAAGTACGGTAAATACTTGGCATCGATTGTTGTCACGCGACATAAATAATATAGTACCACACACATAGTGTCATAGATAACCGATGATATGTTGCTGTTCTTGTTACGAAAGATGGGCCCTATTAGGTTTCGATGAAAATGCCGCAATCTATCAGAGACAATGACTCAGCGTTTACATCCTAAATTACCATGTCTTCTCTGTTCTCCGTTTATCTTTCTTTTTACATTCTTCACCATTCTTTCGTACTGTTTTCTTTTCATCCTTCACTATCATCGTAGGGTCAGATCTTTTTGACACTCGATGAGTGGAAAACCCGCTCTATACGACGCTCAGTTGTCATCACGTCAAACGACTGTCCGTACACACCCTAAGCCGACCGGCGTCGTCAACCATGTACTGTGGTAGTCAACCAATTCAAGGTGTGTTCAAGCTTTTTTGGGCCCCTTATTGTGGATGTGCGCACTGAGACGTTGATAGCACAATGGCGAAGAGTCGGCCACTCACTGTTGTTGATAGATTCACGGTCCTTCATATTACATGCCAACAGCGTTTTTCAGATCTTCCAGCTGGCATATCTATCTAATTACAGTCATGCAGTAGGGTCGTCGGTATGGCGCAGGTAAACAGATTACGTTGCTGCTTGGGTTCGCTGTTCTGTTCAGCCGCAATGACATTTAACGCGTCACCATTCAAGTATGACTTGTATTGATATGCATCATTAGTTGAGTTGGTTTAAAAATGAATTTGAGCGCTACATAATTGGTGGTTTACTCACAAGTTTGTGTACATCAAGGACCAACTCTGTACCAAGTTCTCTATACCCGTTGTGAATTCAAAGTAGATGTCGTTCTGCACTTGCACCCAGTACCTTCGACTAGGGTGCGCTGACGTTGATCGGAGAACTTGATTACTGTTGCCATGTTATAAGTGGTCATGCTTATCGGGTTGTCACGGTGCCTATGCTGTCATGGACACACAGCTGTTGCTGGCCAGTTCCCTGTCGCTCGCCTTTACGATGGTCTATGTAAGCTCGTTGCTGGGCTTCTGTTTTATATGTCTCGTGACGATATCATGTAAGCGCCATTGGTACCTCTGATTTAGCTAGCTTCTGTCTGTTCATGTCGCTTGCTGGCCTTATTTGCTTGTAGTCTTTGTTTCTCCATAGTTGTCTTCTTTCTTTCCATGAATAAAAATATGATTTCACTCTTCGTACAATAATAATTCTTTGTGTCTGTCCAATAATCTTGTACACGTTGTTGACCTCTAGACATTAATGCCTTTCTCAATCATTGAGCCTTGGCTCTCTTCTTCCACCCAACTTGTTTATAATCACAATACAGTATACCCCCTTTCATTGCACATCCGTTAACAAAATTTTTGGGAACGGTAAAAATAACATGGTAAATTTCAAACCCCCGTTTATTTCACTTTCAATGTATCATCCAGGGTTAATCGCGTTATAATACAAAGTGCTCCTCCATATATGCTTTAAATAAATAAAGCGCTGCACATTATTAATTTCGGTTGAATTAAAGCGAATATCATAAAAACAAAAAAGAAAGCTGTCTAAAGAGCTTTGTCTAGCAAACAGTTTTTCTTGAAGCTTCCCGCGTAACTTCCGTAGTTTAGAAGGGAGACTAGGTATAATCTCTTCCTCTCCATCGGAGGTCAAGGAATCCAAAAAGTTAGTTTAATATTCATGAACAAGTTATCGTTTATCTTATATTTATAGAATATTTCAATAGAAAACAAATATTCATCCCTCTCCTTATGACTTCAAGTTCTTTTATATGATAGAATAATTCAAAAGGATATAAGTAACAGAGATATGCCTATCCCTGTATATATATTTTTCTGATTTCCGGTGATACTACTGGGCGGCAAGCAGTCGCTGATTTACCAAATGCTTCTTGGTCTCCCATTGTCTCTTCTTTCGGTGTATATTTTATTATTATGTATGTGGGAAAAAGTCAATACAGCCAGAAAATGTATTGGATAATGGGCTATGCGAATTACGATTCCTATATTGTGACAACTTCATGAGCGTTGGTAATCTATGTAGCATTAAGATGCGTCTTGATAACGAATATCCGTACACAGCTTTTGTGTCCTAGCATCCGTTGACTTTCACAATTATCATTTGGGAATTTCAAGTTGGAAATTAACGGGTGTCCTGATCTCGTTCCTGTATTATTTCCGCTACATGCTACATATCCTCTTATCGCCCTGTCAGCTCTTCATCATACACATTCACGCTCTCGAAATAAAAGCTCCTGTTGCCTTTCTTCATAGCCCTCGCTATAAACACGATCTCTTTTGTTTGCCATACGCCGAACCTCTGCCGCTTCGTCCTGACCACCGCCTATAACGTCATACCCCCCCCCAATACTTTTCACTTAGTGCCCAATCTCAACTTTCCAAACTTCCTAAGTCAACTTTGCTCTGCTCTTCTTGTACTTCATTTTCATCTTAGTAACTTATCCAACCTCATTTTTTTCTAAAACCACAAGAAAATCCGCAAAGATATTGAACATTTTCCTTTTCCGGTGCTTTTCTGGAAAATTCTCTTGTTTGTGTTTATACATCCTTCCAAAACAATTTCGCTTCTACTGTTTTTCCACTGCTTCAACACTTTTGCCGATTTGCTATGTTGGGGGACCACTGTATACTTTTTTGCTTCAGGAAAAAACGTGCTAGTACACAAGTCGCTTTGTTATGTACGTCGGTTTATGTGACTCACAGACAGGTTCCATGTATCAGCAGCACGACATGCTTACTTTTTTCTCCTGTCCTACCTTTTATCCCTCCTTCCGCCTTCACACAAACGAAAAGACCTATATCTTCTCATTATATCATACTGGCGTTGAGAAAATGGTTTTTCTAAACTAGCGTGACAGTCTACTTGTTGTATCCAACAAGGCTGATAACACTCATTCTTTGTTCCGTCATTAATGACTGCTGTTATTTCCCTCAAGATTTCACTAGCGTTCTTCATGTATCGCATCAGATCGGATATAAGGGCCATGCACACCCGATCCGGATATGCGGATGCACTGATGAAATTCGAATCCGCCGTATTTTCCAATATTGCGCATTAGTGAATGACAGCCTTCCACTGTACGCTCTCAGTCAACTAAATCACAACAATTGTTCAATAATGTGCTCCGGTTGCTATCCATATTCCGCTTCAAATGCTATTAACGTTCGCATTGTATATATTAAGAATGTCCCAATAGAAACAAACAAGTTCGATAAATCAAACAAAGACAGTAACGTCGCCTCAATATCGGTAAGTTCATAGACAATAGAATTGAACCCAACAACAAACGTTAATATTTTGGCCTTATCAACCGAGGAACCACTGCAGCAAAGATACTGCAGGGCCATGCAATACCGTGATGCGAATCAAAAAGATCGGAAGAATCAACTCGGCAAACTCTATGATGTAGATCAGCTTACTGCCATGCAAAGGGGCAGAGATGCTTTGGGAGTTAGTCTCACAGGAAACAATCAAATGTTGCAGAAGAAGCTGAAAGGCTAATATCTGATGAGCTTGATGCCGCGATTTTGAATACTCACGAGGAGACATGTGGCGTTGATGGTATTGATTTAATACCAAATGAAGAATCGGAGGATATCCATGCACCAAGTTCTTTCGACGACCTCGTCAACGATCTCTCTCTCTCTTCCTCCGAACCGTCTGCGGGCTCTCCTTCCTGCACCACGTTCTTCTCCATCTCTTCTTCTCTCATTCGTTTAACGATCTCCTGTTGCTTCTTCTCGTAGTACCATCTTGAGCAAGACTAAGAGAGTCCAAATCCTTGCCAGTTGCGCCTCTTCATTCGCCTTTTGCGCCTCCTCCAGCATTTCTCCAAAAGTCTCCTACTCTTTCCTTCCTCGACGACCTCCAGACGGGCGAGCTTCACCTGTTCACCAGCCAAGCTCTCGAGATCGTCGTCTTCGGCGTGTCGTCTCTTCAGAGCCTTGGCTTTCTTATTACCAATGGGCCGCACATCCTTCTCGCCATCCACGCTGACCTCGTTGGCCTTGTCGCTGATGAACTCAAATTTCTGCTCATCCTTCAGCAGAGGCTAGCAAGAGCCATCTTGAACGGCCTATACCGTGCTTCAACTTTGCCGTTGTACCTCTCGATTATGCGCTGTTTCTATTATAGGAACTTAAAGGAACTTCTCGAATCTGTAATATGCATATTCTTGTGCAAAGGACTACCCTGTCACCATCGGTCTCGTCACTTTTGGTGGCCCTCTCTCGATAAAGGCCGGGGCAGCTGCATATCTCGCGATTTGTGCGCTGATGATTTCCAACGACCTTGACAAGTTTCGGGGGTGCGGTTTTTGTCATTGCCGCCTTTTTCAAACTCTTCAAAAACGCGTTGCCAAAAGGTTTTTAAAATCTTGGTTGATGTCAACTTTTTCATCCTTGTCGACGAGAAGGCAGGCTTGGACCAAGAGCTGATCCTCGTCATTGCGCCACTAAGCACCTTTCGTCTTTTTTTTTGGTCGGCAGTTGCGACAGGGGAGGCAGCAGTAGCATTTCGACTTGAGGAGAGGGTGGTTTCGGGGAAAGTGACCGTAATCGTAGACATGGGATTGCTGTTGTCGTTGTTGATGTTCAAAATGTTTGGGAGCAGTATGTAGTTTAATAAAAAGCATTGCGCTGTATAAAATCAAAAGATACGTCGTCGTTTTTCTGCTATTACGTACGCGTGTACTCTGTGTGTGTGTGTGTTTGAGAAACTTAAAAATCACCAGGCCTACGAGAATTATGGTGGAGACCTGAGGCAAAGGATATGGTTATTAGACGCTAAAGTCGCTTCCCAACTGTTGTGACGTGTTGACTAATGCATTCACTGTTGACAAAGACAGTTAGAGTGTCCGATGGATACAAGGGGTTATCGTGTATACACGTTGGTTTGGGCTCGTTGCGGCCAGTAGTAGATGCATCGCTCGAGAAACCATTCCGAATGTCATGTCCAAGATGCATAAAGCTTGTTGCCGTGCTTTCCACATTAATTTACATCTTACGACGCTCAGGATAAATCAAAAAATGAACGAGGAGACGCGTTTAATACCACTACTACGTACGGAATGCCACCAACTGCAAAATTTAACGCTCAGTAGTAGGGGGGGTATAAGGATACCAAAAATCCTTGCCGAGTGTTGTTTAGCACTTAGGGATTCCTCAGGCGGAAAAAGGCTACGATACCATTCGTTATACCAAAATGTCTCCGCAGCAGAAATACTCACACCGCAGGCAACAGCAATTGGTTGTCAATAAAGCAAACTCATAAGCCTTACCAAAGAAGGGTTTTCATGGAGCGCGAAAAGCGAGGACATCTTTGTTAAGGTCATTGGCTGGTACAGTACAGGTACTCGACCGCTCACGATAAAGACCAGATGTTGGAGGTCTGACGCACGTTCATTGGTAGCCTTACGTCGAAAATTCATGTTTGCTTTCTGAGATTTTTGAATGCTCTGGAAAGCTTTCCGAGGCTTTCGAAGGCTTCAAAAAGCATCAGGTTACAACCTTTTCTCTGCCGTCCCTGCTACTGCCTACATATCTGCTGCCAGTCATCCTGTATACCCTGACTGCTATTTTCAAACTTAGAACAAAAGCTAAAGCCATCCTTGCTAATTACATGCGCTAAATATATCGAGTAGTGGATGTAAGGAGCAACTCATGCCGACAAGAGCAGCCAGGTGACGACGCGCTCTATAATTTCTTTTAAACGTCACATTGCTGCTGCTCTTCTTTCTACTCCTTCTGTTCATCGACATCCTGGTTGTTGCGATTGTGCCCCTTGGCCGTCACTGCCACTTCTTTCTTTGAATAGGCCGTTGTGGCATATTCTGACTTACTTGGAGTGGACTTGGTAGAGATTTCCATGCTATCTGAATTGATGCCTTGGAAAAACTTTCCGAAGCACCGTTCATGCATGAAACATCAGAAATTTTTGGTGTTACGCACTCTTTTGGAAAGTTCGAAACACCTAAATCCATAGTACACTTTCACAGCAATTATCTCTGCGTAATTACTATATATTTCGAAAGGGAAAAGTGCTTTCAGTGTAATTTATTCTTGCCTTCAACACACTCACTCTGTGATTATTTTTTGACGCGTTGGATATGGTACAAACACATCGCGTCTTATTCTACACCACTTTCTAGAGGATATTTTTTCGCAGTTAAATCTTTGTGTGTCCATCGTCGGTGTGTCTGTGGAGATACCTAAGTTGGTGCATAGCTATTATGAGCTGGCGCTAATACGATAACTCTGGTACCATGCCGCTACATAATGACAACGTTTCGCGGGTGACAAGGAAACGTAGTATGTTCTTGTCAAAAGAGAATAGAGAGGAATATGAACTTTCTGTTGACTAGTTCAATACATCCAAGCAGCTGCTGGCTTTGCCGCTTGAGATTATGTGGAAACAAAATCGAACGAAAGGGATGTCATTATATATGGTTGTCACGGATACTATACATGCGGTTTGCTTATTATCATTTGTTTACGGGAGTTGAGATACTACTAAAGTATGGTTAAAAGAAGAAGAGAGAAAGGGTAATAGAGGTGGTTATGGTAGAAATAATGGAACACATGTGAAAGGGGAGTAGAAGGAAATGACTACTTTTGGTTTTGTGCGTCATCGATGGGTTGACAACACGATCCGGGAAACCAACCACATGCATCTGGAGAGTATGTCAGCCGACCATACCACCATTCTGGCGTATCGTTCGCTTCTGTGCCTGTTGTTGTTCGTGGTGACGGTGTTGGTGGTCGTGAAGGAATCCATATTTGCAACATATCGCCCTTTCGTATTGTTAGCCGGTCCGACTGATCCGAGTCAAAATCTCGTATGGCAATGCATTGAAATTGTGAATCACTAAACAGCGAGCCCGTTCCGTCGGTGATTTTGGGATCCGATATAATCCCATGTACACCGTATACTGCAGAGGATGACATCGCTGTCGTCATGGTTGTCGTTGTAGATGAGGTACTATTGCCCTCTATTACAATGCTCATCAGTTTCTTCTAATACATGTACTTTTTCTCGCGCTCAAGAAACGAACACTTTTGAGAACATACCAACTACACCAGAATCATGCTTTCTCGTTCTTTTTGTTGATGGAGGGCTTGGAGATGGTGATGTTTTTTTGACACTGGGCGTCATGCCCGATGCCTGCAGTAACGCTTCTTCCCAGGTAAGCAAATCATCACTGCTGTCTTCTGATTGTAGGGATGATTGATTCGAATGCTGTTGCTGTTCTTCTTCTTGTCCTTTCCAATGACGATATTTTTGGATTGAGTAGAGACTCTCCATGCATTCTTGAACGGCCTGCATATTTCGCTGGTACTCCTTGATGATCACATCGGGGCTGCTGTTCAATCGTCCATCACCACGCTCTTGTAGTTTTCGTTGTTGCTGTTGCCCTTGTTTAGTATTTTGGTTGCTGCTGATGTCTTTGACAGTAAGCATCGTCTCCAAACGTAACCATTCATGCCATAACCGCTGATAGGTCTGACACTGCACAGTACTGAACTCTTGAATCAGAACGTCAAAGTATTCGGCCACCAAGTTTAAGAACTGTGGCAGCTCTTCGACAAGCTGTGTGTTGATGGCAATATATGCATCGTCTTTTTGGCGATCACCTCCTGCACGATCGTGATCCAGTAGCTTTTTGGCTCGCTTAGCAATGACTTGGGCAGGTTTTTCAAATAGGGCAAAATAACCCTCGGCTCGGCTCGTCACGATCTTGTTGATATGTGTTTCCTTTGTTTTAAAACGAAAGGGTAAGAGTGGCATTGAGGAGACCCATACGGAATAAAGCAAAAACAGAATTCTTACCGTTTCTTGGGAAATGCAGTCAAAGGACACGCCACTAAACGAGGTGATCGGACCACCAGACCCGTACAGATCGTTCAACACAGCTGCAAATGATTCAATTTCGACACAATGCTCTTTGGTCCGTTCGGCCCATGATTGCATATCCGTTACCAGTTGCCGTCCTTGTGCTTGTTGATACTCGAATCGTTCATATAGGGCATCAAAGAGCGCATCTTGCGTCGCTGCGTTTTTCTTGGTCAAGCCAGCTGCTTGCTTGATACGATATGCACGTCGAGCGATCGTCTTGTTGATCCCATGTCTAGAAAAAAGCGAGAGAGACCCCCGATGATGGGATCCTTTGCATGTGAGAAATCCAAGTTACACCACAGAAATAACTCAAGCATGGAATTCACTTACACTTTCTGTTGATCGAAATATATTGCATGGTTAAAAAAACAAACAATGAGACTCTTTTCTTGTACAACCACGCCATCGCCATCATTGTCGTCACCATCTCACCCTCCCACAACGTCGTCATCATCAACACAAGATTTGTTTTACCTACGCGCAATTCAGTTTTGCCGTCTCCTTTGCTCACAATCATATCTACGAGATCCTTGCGTCTTTTGGTTTCATTTATATGGTCTGCAATCTGCTGGATGCCCTGTGCTGCCGCTAATAACCGTTCATGCTCTTCCGGACTTGTCAAGGAAATCATTTCCTGATTGAATGATGATCAATTTTGTCGTCGTTGTTTAGTTCAGACGATGGAAAATGAAGATGATAAGCCCAAGCCTTCCCCTCCCCCTCCTTTTTTGTGTATGCAGATAAAAGTTATCTTCATTTACCTGGAAAAGCAAGGGGTACTTGAGCACGCGTTGTACTGGTTTGATCAATAAACTCGGTAAATCCCAGCTCGTGGTTCGACCTGCAAGCTCGCTATTGCATGTCTGGTTTTTCACGCATAAAATTTCATCATATAAAACCATATTAGTTAGCTTTATAATATAAAAGTTTCAAAACGGTAGTATAGACAAGTAGGGGTGCGTGGTCGGCTTTGATTATTTACCTTTAAAAATTGGGCTACTTCAGGTCGCGTCTGTTGAGCATTATGTAGCGTATTCATGGCATCTTGATGGCGTTTACAATAAGCGCAATATACTTGATCCATTCCACGCATCTTTTTTTTGTATGTCAGCTTCTGTGTATATAACAATTGAACAGATAAAGGAAAGAAGGGCTTATATACCATTTGCAGGAAAACTCGTCCAATGGCATGTACGGGTCGTTCTTCTGCACTTGCATTTGTCAGGGATGGAATCAATGTTTTTTCAAAATCCAATACAGAGGCAACGTTCGCAAATATTATCTTGGCTTCCCATGGTTGCAATAATCCCTTCGAAGTAGCATTAGCTGTTGCTGACAAGAATGTTGAGTCGGCAGTCGTCAATATCATGCTATTATTATAATCTTGTTCTTGCTGGTGTTTAGAAGCATACACATCCAGAACGAGCTGCATGTCTTGATAATAAGCTCTTTCTGTATCCAGCAACTCTTGGATGACGTTATGAAGTTTTTTACTGCTGGCTACTGTTACTGATGTTGGTGATGAATTTTGGTCGCTTGTGGCAGCGGATGAAAAATGGAAGCTCGAAGAAAAGGGTCTGGGTGCAGATGGCTCGAGTTTTCTTTCTCGTAAGCGATGAAGTGATTTTACTCGTCGGAAGGATGTGGTGGCGGCCATTAAGAGTGATGAAGCGGTTGAATCGATGCTGGTATTGGTGGACGATCGAGGAAGTGTCGTACCACCATTAGCATTATTGCTAGTGTTGTTGTTGTTGTTGCGTCCTCCTCCTTGCTGATCTTCAACAACAGCTAGGGTAGACAATGTGCTATTGTTATCATCAGACGATGAGAATGTGGATAGTGAAAGGCCGTTAAGGTCGCAAGGTATCGATGAAGATCCAGATAAACTGGTTGGGGGTGAATAGGATGATGACAAATGCTGCTGTTGTTGCTTTTTGTTCAAGAGCGAAGCAAACGAAATCTTCGTACGCAGGCGAGATGATTTCTTTTGGTTGCTGGTACTATCGTCGCTGTGGTCATTATACCGTGCTGCTGTTGCCATGGTATAACGATGCTCGTCACTATGACGACCCAGAGCAACTTGGTCCTCGTAGTTGTATTCTTTAAAAGTCGGCGGCGGTGAAGAAGAAGAAGAAGTAGAAGCAGTAGTGAAAGCTGATGACTTGCCGAAAAGGTCGTCGGCGGTAAAAGTAGCAGAGTCAGTCAACCAGGTAGATGACCATATTCGTGACGAGTCTTGCTGTAATGATGATTCGTCATTGTTTTTCTCATTGCTATGTGCTATACTAGTAGTAGAAATACTAGGAGCTATTCGATGCTGATAGTGATGATGATGCTGTATGGCATCAATGTCATAAAAATAGATCGTTTACAGATGTTATTAATGTTTGCCTCTTTGATTATTTGCTTGTATAAATTAGAATTGCCCATTGTTTACATGCTGTTCTGCTGCTGCCATTGTTGTTGTTGCTGTTTGTTTGTGTAATATAAAGATTTAAAAAATTAAGACAAAACAAGAAAAAGAGAAAAAGAGAGAGAGCTCAAGGCAAACAAGCTAGAGTAAGAAACTGATAATACACACACCATAGAAAACCCACCACTGCTGCACACACCCCTTTGCTCCTGTTGTTAAAACCATCCCCAAGGTACCCCCCCTTCTTTTCCTTGTTGGTTTGACCATATAACGGAAATCCCACCCTCACCTTCACTCCAAAAAAGGCTACCTTGCTCCTCTTCTCTTCTCTCACCGCACCACTCCCCCCCCCTAGTAGCTATATTACGCTATGCCGCCTAGAGCAGGAAGGCAGATTACATTCTGCTCTCTGTTGGTCTTCTTGTCCTCTCTATACACTAATAAACCCTGCTCTGCTCTATGTGTTCATCAACTTCAATCCACGTTTTCAAATGTATGTATAACTCTCTTTCTGAAGCGTATTATGCACAATTTGCGTAACATACAAAACATACTATTAGGATAGTGCCAACAGCTTTCTTGATCCGCTCTTTTGTTATAATGCCCCCCCTTTATTATTAGAGAGTTTTGTGTCTGCTGGCCTTAATACTAAAAATAATTTCGACTTCCTCTTCTCCTCCTAACGCATTTTCTTCCTCCTCTTCCTTCTTTCTGAATATCATCTATCAGACACCATTACTACTACTACCCGCAACACTCCTTTGGTGGCAATCTTCTTTTTGCTAATAGTTCTGACGCACAGTGAATTTTTTGGATCTGCAAATTGTTTTTAAGGGGATGGAAGAAAGTGGGGTAGGGAAAAAAAACGAGTACACAGGTTATTGGTGGGGATGGATTTTTGTTAGTAGCTACTATAAGTTGCATTAAGTCTCATTTCCAAGTGTTGAGCAGCTGTTAATGACGAAGTTTCATCTTGATCATCACTCGTCTTGAGCGATTGCATTTGAGATTTGGGAATGAATCGACTTGGCACAGGCTCCAGTTTTGCTTGACCGCCTTGACAGAAATAGGCCATACTGTACCGTGGTTTCATTTGCGTAGCAGGTGTAAAGATGACACGATGCTTTGTCGAACGCAAGAGGGAACACGTCCAGTATTCGAGACAATCGCCTAGATTGACAGTAAGGCAGTCGTCCACCACGGGCGCATCCAGCCATTTGATGCTTTTTTCATCAGGTGCATCACGGTTGGCTTGGATTTGGAGCCCTCCAATGCCGTTTTGGAAAAGTAAGGTCAGTGAGCCATAGTCAGAGTGACGGCCAATGCGGATATCGTCAACCTTGTTCGGATGATCCAGGGCTGGGTAGTGCAGGACGCGCAGCACGTCATTGGATGGCATATCGTATGCATGCCGGCTCGAGAACCAAGTGCGACCACCTTCGGACTCGGGGATCTTTTGGAGAAAAAAATAACACTTCTTTAACGAACCTTTTTAACACAAAAGGCGCTATTTCTATTTAATAAACCCACCTCCAAAGCAATAGCCAGACATTCCATGATTTGAGTAACAATAGTGTGACATCCCTGTCCATGTAAAGGTGATGAGGTCAGTTGTTGTCGATATAAACGAGCACAAATAACAAAGGTTTTGAGGCCAGAAGACACATACCCGCACAAACTTGTTTACTTTTTCCTTCTGAGCATCGAAAACTGGAGGCAACGGCTGTGATGGATCGTCACCTTTGAACTTTGCAATATGAAACGATCTGTATTAGGGAGTAATGTAGTTTTGTCAGCGACGAACTGGGCTTCTTCCATAGCTTTCCTTACTGCTACTGCCACAAGCACCGACCCTCTCCCTCACTCCTTCTCCTCTTCTTCCCTTGCGCAAATTTTCTTCTTTCAATCATCTTCCTTCATCATGTCCGTGCACGAGCACACCATCACCACTACGTGCCATCGTTATGATAACAATAAGCATACATACTCTTTAAAATCGCCTTGACTATAGTTGACTGGATCCACACTATACAATATGTATGTAAGCTAAATATGATAAACAGAATAGCCAGGAATCAAACGGTTAACAATATTCTTACGCTTCTTGTCGCACGGCAGAATAGCCAAGATTGTCTTTGTCAATAGCATAATTGCTTTTATCGTCCTTGGGCGTGTCGAAGAAATCCTTGCTCTATATGCATAACATGCATAAATCAAAATCGGATTATTTAATCAGTTTAAGTTTCTCCAGTCAAGAGAAAAAAAACCAGATATATAAGCACTCTTATTACCAAATAAAACATCTCTTCAACTTCGTCCCGAGTGAAACCAAAGTTACGGAGGTAGAAGAAGCCAACGTTCTGAGCAGCATCGAGAATAAGCTTGCCACACTGGGTAGGGTCGCTTTTGAACAAAGAAAAGTCAATGATCGGGATGTGTGAAATATCAGCAGCTGCAGTCATGTTGTAGTGACTGAGTTTTTACGTGTCTGTTGCAGAAGAGAAAGGAGGAATACTCGGCCTGGGAACCATGCGGTCAAAGTATTTATATGCGAAAACAACAATCATGCAGCCTTAATACAAGCTTTATTAAAGCAGTCGTTATAGTTTTAGTGCTTAATAGTTGGAATACCGTTTACCTTTGCCACACGTACCGCTCTTGCGATCTTCTCTTTAAGAAGACATATCTGCATTGGGTAAGAATTGATCCGTGATAAGCCATTTTCGAAAATTTCTGATAAGGTTTTTTGAACCGATTAGTGAGAATTGGGTTCTTTATCTTGACCTTTTATATGATTGAGCTTCCAATTTCAAGACTCATCGTGGCTGTTTTTCCACATTATTGTTGATAGCCAGTATCTAAGGTGCGTTATCGTGTATTTTGTACATGCTAGTTACCCAAATTTTAAGGGAATAAGGGAAATGTATTACCAGATGTGGTGGTATCATATTATGATTGGGAGGGGCACGCGCGCGTATGCTAGGATTCGGATTATATCGCTGCCATTCACAAGCTCAATCAGTTTGTCCCGCACAATGACTACAAATTATGTTGAGCTTTGTAATGAAGAAATTAGAAAGAGTGCTCTCACTCTTTTCTTCCGATACTATATCTATCATTACTTTTGCAAACCATCGTATTCTTGCATGAAAATCAGAACAAAAAACGTGCCGCTGCCGCGGAAAGCGGAAACGGCTGTTCCAGAAAAGAACAAGAATATCGGTTTTTCATGACACACACGTTCTGTAACACTAATTGAGGATAAGAGGTATATCGCTGTCACTGATTGTGTACATGACAACCATAAGCTACAATGAAATGCTACGCGCACATAGATCAACAGTACTTAAGCACTGTGGGCGCACGATATTCATGTAAAATATAGCGCTTTTGTATAGCATATATACTGTAGTGCGGCCATGCTTTGGGGCTTTTACAATTATATATATATTATACTTTTGAAAAGGAGAAGAAAGGGTTCTCATCTCTTCGTACGCTGAGAATCAGAGCTGTTAGATGTGGATTGCTTCTTATAGGCTATACCGGCCAAAACATAACTTACAACAGTTTTATGCAGGTTGTGCTGCGATTCAACTTGAAGGCCTAAGCAATAAAGGCATGCCATTAGGTGGACAAGACAATTGTCTACATACTGGCTGTAAGCATCTTAAGGAGTACGACGGGGAATCGTTGTGTCGGCGCACATACTATTCATGCACACAAAAGGAGAAAGGACCTTGGTAGTCATCGACAATTTTTATAAGCGCTATGATGTTGTAATAGAAGCAGGGGGATTTTTCTGCCAAAATGTTTCCCCCCTTATGTTTCTTGCACAAGCGAATGAATTACGGCAGCATTTGTGGAAAGACGAACAAAGAGAGGTGACTCTCAAACACAACAGTATATGCAGCCTTATTAAAAAGTGAGCCTCACTTTTCCACTAAGGCGACAATGCTCAGGTCCGCGTTTTTAAAAGTCTATGTAGAAGCAAAGAAGCTTTACATAATCACTAGGATGTCCGTAGACGTAGTATATCGCAAATAACCTTATGCTAGCAGTAATATAAGAAGAGTGCAGCGTTCATAGTTATACTCTTGAGCATCAAGCAGTGCAAAGCTCCACCTGGCGGAAAGCAAATTCGTTTGTCATGCCACCAACTGCAGCTTGTGTCACCTTGAGTCCTACATGATAAAGCTCTCCCACACTCACCTTCTTCGTCTTACTACTCTTTTTAATATGCAACAATACAAACACAACAGTGTAATACGGCTCGACGCCGACCTGCTATTCACAGTCCTTCCACACGAGATACTGTGTGCCATATTCTCTCAGCTCAGCTGGGGCGATCTCGTCCTGTGCTTGAGCGTTCACCCCACTTGGGCGTCACGCATTCCCCACTATGCCAAGAGCAAACTTAGCACGTTCGAATTCACAACAGACATACTCAGCAACCTACACTCGCCATTTAGTTTAGTCAGTCTGGGCCCTCATGTCGAAACAGTCATTATGCATCAACTCAATGACCACGATTGCGTAATAAAGGCGCTGGAAATCGTTGTAAAGAAGAAGTGCAACGTCAAGAAGCTCAGTTGAGTGAATTTGCCATATGTCTTCCCTACATTACGTGAGAGAGAGAGAGAGAGCGCGCGGTGGGGGGGTTAGGGAGGGAAGGAGGAAAGAATATTAACATATTATCAATCGCCTTTCTTCACAATGTAAATGTAGAGCTGAGCGAGTGCCGTATCTTTGATCTTGAAAGATTTCTTCAGTTATTAAACCAAGTCGGTGGCCAAACTTTAACAGAGCTAACGTTTGAGCTTCATCGCGACCAAATGCCTTATCGCCACATCATTGCTGCTTGTCCTAAACTCACCCACTTTGCGTGCGACTTGGACAACGTCACCCATGAACCAGCTCTCATGCAACAGCAGCAACAGCAGAAACCTTCTACGTCGACAATGACACTGGAAACTTTCGGCAGTAATATCACATACCTTTCGGTCAACATTCTGCTACAACGCGACGATCGATTATACCCACTTTTACGGATGTGTCCACAGCTACGATGTTTGGTGCTTGGTTATGGATTTTTTGTGCGGGACGGGGATCCACATCGTTGGAGGCGACCGTTCGACCTTGGCGCTATTTTGGACATGTGTCCCCGTCTAGTGTATTTCCAGTGTAACTCGTGGGAAAATAATCCGGCCTGGATCATGCATGCAAGACAGCAATCGTCACGGCTACCGCATTTACTATTCAAAAGCGAGGAAGAACAGCAGCAGCAACAAGGGGGTCTACGCGAATTCATTACGGACCATTGTGGAATCTATGACAGCAATCAGATCATGCCTCTTTTATTACAACACCGAAACACACTGGAAGTGGTCAAATTGAACCGCATTAGGAAGGACAAGCAGGGACAGCAACAACCATGGCAACGGCGTAGTACCAAATCATGGTTGTACGAACTGGATGATCAGCGACAACAGCAGGCGCTTAAGGCTGCTAATACTGGCGAGGACAACCGTAACTTCAATCGATTACATACACTGGTTCTCAAAAGCATAGAGTCCGGTGAGCCACACCAAGTTGCAACTCTCATACGACGGTGTCCAAATTTGCAGGAAATCAGTTTGGATGGAAGGATGGTCAGTGCGCCTGTTTTGGACGCATTAGCGGCAACATGCCCGCATCTCCGACGACTCGATCTTAAAGGAACTTCAGAAACAAAGGAGGATGGAACCATCATCATGCACGCTTTAAGAAACTTTATACAACATGGAAGCATGACGCTGAAATCCATGCGACTGGCGAAGCTAAAGGCCATTACAAACGATTTGTTGCTCGCATTAGTTGGATTGCAAGAGTTGGAACTGGCTGACCTGCCCAATATATCCGAATATGGGATGAAACAGTTTATCGCAAGTGCTAGCTCATATCAGCAGAAATCAAGTCGCGATAGTAGTGGTGGTGGACATCATAATCATCGTCGTCGTGGTGCTTACCATGGTACTACTACTACTACTAATGGCGGTGCTCTGAGAACGCTGGTCGTCAAGGATATGCATGTTATCACAGAAGATTGTTTGCGGGCATTAAGCCGGTCCGAGATCCTACACACGTTGCAGCTCTGTCGGTGTGGTACTTTATCGGAAACTGGCTTGATGGAGCTTGTTGCCAGTAGAGACACGAATAACGACAAGCGCAAACGCAATAATGGTTTAAAAGAGTTGTTAATTGATTGTTGCACTGTCTCCATTGATGCCTGCGTTGAAATTCAGAAATGCTTTGGTCGACGATCCATACGAGGTCCATCAAAGTATTGGCCAGAGTTGTGATTGCGTATATGTACTTTCCTCCCCATTTTTTAATCTCTTTTCACATCCCTCCCATTGAAGTATCATTGATGGGACATATCGTTTCCAGCTGTAAATCTAATAGTAGTACTAATGATGGTGCACAAGCTGTATATAATATACCCTTATCTTCTTCAACAGATCAATACCTTGCTACAAGTATGTCGAGGCAGAAACAAAATCGAGGCCTCGTGCACGGGTACTGACATTGGAAAATAGTTGTACTCACTCTGTTTAGGCCTCAGAAGATATACCGGTAAACTCGATTCCTGATTTTTTCGCTTTTCCTATCAATAGAGTAAGTGTGTTTTTGTCGAAAATTATCGTTCTGGTGTATAATTTAAAGCTAGATCAATCTGAAAAGGCGTAAATCATACTTCTTTTATCTTATTCACCATATGTAAAACTTAATGCAAGAATGAGACATCACTCGGTTAAAGATCCAAATTTTGCTTCAGGCATTGCCACTATCATAAAAGAGCATTTTAATTCTAGTTTGAGTGTGCACCCAAGAGCCTATTACTTATTTGTTGAGATAATCCACTGTAAAAACTTGCAAAATACGTTTCCTCTAATGTAGTGGCGGTTAGGGTATGCAAACGCACAGCACACTATGCTTCTTCAGTTGATGTGATAGATGCACTATCCATACTGCATCTTATGTTCTGCAGCCCATTTATGCCTTCTTTTTTTTTCATTTTCGCTTTATATCTCATTCGGTTAATAAAAACCGTAGAGGAGCATCTGTCAACCAAACGCTTGAAGCTCGAACAGCTCGATACAGAGACGATGTCTGTATCCACTATCAGCTCCTAAAGAACGTTCTTGACTTTAAAATATTTGATTATGGAGAGCTACTGTAGCTGCTGGACTCCCAGCAGAGACAAATCCTGCGTCAGTGAATATCTTCTGGACGACCCTGTACTATCCATGCTGGCCATGCGAGCAACATTCAAATTGCAGAAAGTCTTTTTACCATTTCACTTCGTTATCAAGGCGTCATTAATCATATCATATGGCAAACAAACGCCCGATATCTTGTAACGTCTGAAAAATATAACGATAACCCGCAGAGATGTATCCGTCAACTATTGGGAGATTTTCATCTCACGGTTCACGACCGCTCTTATTACGGAACGTGTACACAAAAGTCAATTGACGCTTCGGGCAACAACTGTGATCATTATAACTGTGCCGGATTAGACACGCAACAACAGCACAAATTTATGAAGACGTAGTAGTAGCCCTGCACAGCTCTGGAAGTATCGAGTTTCAGCAACCAACTTGTGAATATAATCGCTCTATTTTGTAAACCGCAATACAATTAGAGGTGGAAAACATACCCAAAATCGGTTCAGCTTTTGGAAACAAGGTTTAGTTTGCTATTAAAACAACCCTACTTTTACGCATTTCGTCTACAAGCTTCGTCCATTGAGCGACGATGATCCTTCTGTGACACCCGAGTGCCCTACTCCCCAATCCACGCATTGCCAGGGCTGTAGGTTATTCTCAGCCCAAATAAACTGTCGAGCAGATGTTCGGATATCTCCTCGAACTTAAAATTTCTCCGTGCTATGTCGAACGGCTGGATCACAGTTTGCGCAGACGCTCAACATGGTACATGGAACTTTAACGAGCAGCATCCAATCATGTTTATCGGAGACGCTGCTATCAAGATGATGCTGACGAGCTGCAACAGCAATCTTAAAAATCATGCTACGAACGATTGATGCTATGTAATTGATGCGTCCTTAGGAATGCAGTGATCAAAGCCACTTGGAGCGACGAGAGAATGTGAATTGCGATCCAATACTGGTAATACTGAGAAAAGGATGGACGGGCTATATAAGCATTCGAACAGCCCAGCTTATCGTCTACCCACTTTCTATGAAAATATATTGATTCAGATTCAATTGACTTTCCTATCTGGAACGATCAAAATTGCCCCTTCAATGTCAATGCTTCCGTTTTCGATAGTCAGTGTCAAAAAATGTCTTGTTTTGGAATACAATTGGTTTTAAAAGACTTAGCGACAATCTTGGATGTATCATAATACTGTGTTTATGCTCTAACTTGAAATTGACTGACACATTTATACCATAAATTTTATATCGTAAACAAGCTATCGTATATAGATCACACTTTTTCTTCATACAAAAGCGTTATGAAGTCGACAATTATGTAGCACATTGTGATGGTACAGTCAACCCCCCGCTTTTTGCAGAAATGGGATTTTGGGTAATTAGGCTGCAAAAAGCGGGAGGCTGCAAAATACGGAAGTGAAAACTATTGTGTACAAGATTCTGATTGAAGCTTTATCCCCACATCCTTATCATCATCATCAGCTTTCAACCTGACTTAGATCGTTGTGCTCTGCGGAAGTCTGAAACATGCTCCGAGTTTAGTTCATCGACTGTCAGTCTTATGCCGCATCTTTTTTAATTGCTACAGGCAATCCACGACTACTGTTCCGCCGTCAAAATACAGTACTAAGTCTTTGAAATATATTTCGACTACTCTAATTTTTAGAAAAGATAGCCTGTAGCGATCTATATCATACAAACAGTGTATTACCAAGACGACAACGACGACGAACGCACAGCAACAACTTGGACTTCTGAAAATTTTCATATGTCAATACAAATGTCAACAGCACAATAATAGCATCGACCGCCAGTTGATCCGCATATTCGAAAGACATCATATGACGACACACGTTTTAAAGCAAGACCTGGGAGTGATCCGCCACTGCACGCATCTGTGGAACTTCTTCCAAAACCTGTGGCTCCAGTCTACATACTCTCAAACTTCAGCAGAAGATCAATTTCATGCTGGCTCAAGTACTATCGAAGCTTAGCAACAAACGCTCATCCCTTAAGGAAGTGTGTTTTCAAGGCGACGGGTTCCGTCATTACGGCGCCTTATATCTTCTCTAGAAACTTTCCGCCGCTTGGAACGACTCGAGCTACACTTACTTGACAGCATAGTTGCAGCAGCAGCAACTGGTCAGCGAGCAATAGCAGCAATTGACGGTACTAGGGCGTTCTTCATTGCTCAAAGTTCAATGCTTGACTTCTTTACCATGGAAATGTAGATTTTGTAAAGCTATTGAACCCAGATCTAATGAAACATATTTAGTACCATGGGCAGTTGCTTTTTGAAAATGAGCATATCCGCAGTGGACGACGCTGTGCTGGCTGATGCATATCAACATTTAGCCAATTTACGGATACACGAACTACGTATCGATGTAAATCCTAGATAGAGGATCCTTTCGTTGTAAAAGCCATTGCCTATATACAGCATTTGGCAATTATAACTGTAACGTACGGGCTCGCGTCTCAGTTTTTGGCGGAAAAAACTTTTGATAACCATCTCGAAGCATGCTCGAAGCGTCATTAACTGCTTATCTCACCTACTCATCCCATTGTTGGGTTATTATATCCGAAGTAATCAAAGCAGCAGTAGTGCTTGAGGGGTGATTCGGAAGACTTTGGGGGATCAACGTCATCGAAACGCTTAACGTTAAAAATTGAATGGATGTCTTACTACATACAAAAGAAACGGCTTATATATCTATATAATTAGAAACTTCCTTCTATAATTGGGCTTTAAATCTTTATTCTATTGCTATGCATAAGCCGTTTGGAAAAGGCCGTGCTGCAGCTTCAGCCACCACAACTCCGCTGCTTTTTTTGTGGAAAAAAAATCGCATTTGAAAAAAAGAACTTCTATTTGACACGTCCCGCTTGCCCGCCTCACACACGCCGCCCGTTCGTTTCTAACAACACAAAGCAACAACTCCAAAAAGAATAATGCCCGGCATCGTATTAGAAGAACCTTTTTCGATTGCCCGATTCCATAACGTCATTGACTCGAGCGATGCCAGCAAACAATTTACGATTGGCTTGAATCCTTTAGAGCACTCGATCGTGGCCGATCCTAATGAAGAATCAATTACCGACGATTCCGATCTCGTTCTTGTGGCTGTCCAGGGTGAAGGCATTAAGCTCTACAGTGTAAGTATTATTTTTTTTCGAGGAATGTCTGGGCTCAACTTGTAGAGTAGACAGCAATGTTAACATTTTCGCTTGTGTATGTATTATGTATAGACTGCCGATCAAAAGTGTATCAAATCATGGACGACACCTCCTGGTCTGGTTCTAGGCGGATCGGCCATTCACCGTGTCAGTGAATCAACTGATTATACGTTTGCGCTAGTGACCTCGGGAAAAGATATTCCAAAGAAAGAACATAACCGGATAGTATGGATGTGGAAGAATGGCACGGATAATCGAGTTGCTAAAACAGTAAGTATAGAATATGCATACACATTTTAAGGCTAAAAGGTGTGGGATATGTGGCGTTTGCTTTCTTTTGAAGTCATGTACTGACTATATGTAATATGTGTCTAGTTGGATGAACGTATACATTCTATGCATGTTTCGCCCGCGCTTCCATCAGGTGTTATATTTGTAAACCAGAATGGCTCAATTGCACTGATGAATAACGATTTGGATCGCACTCTGGCAAAGACTACGTCGCCTATAAGGTAAGCTAAATTGGGAAGAGTAAGAAAGGTGTGATAATGATAGAAAACGGAGGCTGTTTGGGAGCTAAATTTGCTAACTGTGGGTATACATGATTCATTTCTAATTTATTAGTGGCACGGTCGTTTGGTCCACTGTTTTTGTTACCACCAATCCACACGTTCGCCCTTGCTGCGTATCCAACTCGCTTGTGCCTGTGAACTCGACGATTATTCTAACTATAAACGCACATGACAATTCATCCGACCGCTATGCCATTTATTTACACTATTATAACGAAGAGCGACGAAGCGTTGTCCCGCTTGTCAAAGCTGAAATTGCTCTCAAGGAAAAGCCTGTAGCTTTCACATTCGATCCTACTGATGGCAGAATTACAACTCTCGGTGTTGGAGGCAAGTGGACTGTATGGCGCTTAAAGATTAAGCAAGAAACTGGTCGTAAGCTCGTTGGTCGCCTTGATACACAACTGTCGACACAACTCCAAGGCTATCAGTTGCATAGCGAAAAGCTGGGTAACGTAGCAGCTATTGCCCCGTTGTCCGAGGGTTATGTTGCTATGGTTGCTCCTCGACTTAAAGACAGTAAGGTTTTTTTTATGCTTGATGAGATAGGGGAATGGAGATGGTGTAATGGACGGCTGTGAATTGAATTTAGTGGGAATGAGAACCTAACCTTTACTTGCTTGTTTTAGATACGGCTGAACATGTTGTCAGTATTTGGGATGTCAAGTATGGTACTCTGCAGGCAGAGCGTATACTCAACTTAGCAGAGAAAAACGCATGCGGCAAAGACAAGTGCATCTACAAGGTATATCATATACTCTAAGTATGCATTGCTTCACTTTCAATTTCTAATAATATTTGATATCGTCTCTTTATTTTTGTCTCGTATGACTAGATCTCTGTGCTATCCAACTCACATTTGGCCATCACGATTTCTTCGCTCGTCTCTACCACCGCAAAAGACACAAAAAAGACTCGATCTGTCACCGATGCCAAGTCTACCGTTGTATTATGTCCATTCTACAGTGAACCCATATCGTTGATGGCAGCAATGGGAAAAATGAAGTCGACTGCACGATTCCTTGGTATTGATGACGACTCAAAGCCAGAAAGCATTGGCGTCACACGAAGCGATATGGATGCTCTCAGTTTCCAACCTCCAAGGGTAAGAAACTATTTTCTTCCGTTTTCAAATCAATACGTTCTAAATCACTCACTTGTTTTCTTGTCAGCATGCGGATAAAGACGACGATGATGCACTCTATGATCGTTGGGCTCACTCGTTGGAGCATGTCCAAAAGAAAGAAAACAAGTCTCTGTCCTTATTGTTAAACCCAACGATCGATGTCGAGAACTTCTCCAAGACTTTCTTCTCTCGGGTGTCAAAGAAGGAAATCAAAAGACCATCTTCAACCATTGAAAAATCGTCTAGCGCTTATCGAGAGGCAATGGCTCAAATGGAATCCAAAGGCAAACATGGACAGGTAAATTATCACGCCATATGAGAATAAGTGGAAGGAGCACGAGGAGCTGGGGAATTTGTGTGCTACCTTTGTGTTTAAAAGCTGGGAAAGAAGAGAGTGAGCCACTAACAAGTTACACGACCAGATTGAATTGTCGCACCGATTTGTTTCCTGTGTTGTTCGGAAATGTTTTGTGTGCCCGAATTTCTGGCCCTTACATGTGATTTTGTACCTTCTCCAAATTCGACATATCCGTAGCAGTGATATTGAAGGAGGCATTATTCCAGTTTTGTTGGAGCGAAATGAATGGGTATGTGTAATGGTAGATTCTAAACCACAGTAACATTTTTGTACTAACTGATATATCTGGTAAAGGCATTGGTACCTATCGTACTTGAAAGCGTTCCAGATATTCCAGAAACAGATCTTGTTGTACTACTTAAGGCATTGCTAGCAAATCCAGACAGCCTTCCAGTATCGACGCGCGAAGATCTTTTCAAGCACATCATTGATTCGCCACACAACGAGATCTTCATGCAACAGGCATTGAAACGCTTGACAGCCTCGGAAATACCTGCAGCGGTGAACATGATTATATGGCGTTTGGAAAATGTTCAATTATTTGAATCTTCTGACACTTTCATTAATGTGAGCACTTTTTTTCTTTGATTTACTGTTTATTATCTGCCCTACATATTGACCCTTTTTTTGTAGGTACTTGAATTTACGAATGGCCTTCTCGATAGCCATTATCCTGTCATCATCATGGAACCTACGCTGTATGAAGCAGTCAACAGAATACAAGAATTGACATTAGAACATACAGACACAGCCGATCAAGTCGACCGGTTACGAGGTATGCTGGGTCCATTTGAACGCAAGCAACGACAACAACTTGCACAAGCGGCAAAGGAACTGGCAATGCAGCAACTGCAGAAGCAACAGCATAAGAACAGTAGCAATAAGCAACGTGGCGGCGCTGCTGCTCTCCAACAGGATGAGCAGGGTATACCAGTCTATAGAGTGGAAATATTCAATTTTTAAACAAAGAATTTTACTGCATCTTCCCATCATCATCCATCCTTTTCTCTTGTCTTGTATAATAAATTGATTTGTTTTTCTCATAGAGCAAAGCATGACCACTGTCACGCACGGTATTCATACACATGCATGGAGCGACTCGAACTGAATTAGGATTTTATAGTTAGTGCGCATAGCTTTGTGTGCTGCACAAACCTTTATTAAAAAAAACTTCAAGGGATTTAGACTCCTAAAATTGAGAATACCTCAACTGTGTTCTCCTTTTTCCTCTGCTCTCACTTCTCTTTCCTTTCTTTTAAACCAAACGAGGAAGCATATCGACAGCGACGATGGCCACAGCAACAGCAGCAACTTTAGTAGATGCTGGGATGGCCTGGCTCCAAATTCTATTTGACAGAGACAACCGCAAGCAAACGGGCATCACCATTGGAGCAGCCAGTGCCGTGGTCTACCTAGCACTCGTTCGTTATTTACGCTACCGCAACATCAACGCCATCAAGGAAAAGTATCCAGATCCTACTCTAGCACTCCGTGATTCTGCTGTAGCCGAAGAAGTTTATAATACTACCCTCCGCAAAGAGTTTCCATGTATGGTATCTAGCATGAATCATGTAGTTTTACGGCTGCTAAGATAGAATTTCGCCCCTATTTTTCTATTTTTCTGATGCCCTATAATAACATATGCTGTCATAGTTCTTGCCCGTACGTCACTCGAATTTGCTCTTTTTAAAACCTATTCTGTTCCTACAATCAGCAAAATCCTTTATGCTACTGGAGAGTTCAGTAGAAGTATTGATTCCACTCGTAAACGTGCGGATGACACAGAGTTAATCCTGGTAAGTCGCGTTTCATTTTAGTTAAATAGTTTTACTGCAAATTCCTTCGATGTGATACACAAAAATACTTCATCCTGACTTACTTTGCTCTTGCTGCTTACACACTTCCTGCAAATAATCTAGTTTGAGATTGCAGAGGCCTACCCCCATATTGAAGAATTGAAGAAAGGCAACCGTGTTCCTACACAAGAGGAAATCAACGACCAGCGACGACGCCCCGAGATTGCCACCAAACGTTTAAACGAACTACACGGCAAATATCCTATTCTCAACGGCGACTACTTGTACACTTTGTCGTTGTTTATTGTCGAGCCAATCAAATGGATCAACAACTTTGAGTGGAGAAACCTTGAACCCATTGAAATGAATGTAAAGTATTATATGAAGGAAGTTGTTTGCCACTATTGGTGCAGCTAGTGGTGGTAAATAATTGTTGCTGGTGTTATGTTTCTAGATCCCTGAAATTCATATTCTGACTGACCTTTGTTTATATTAGGCCATCTTCCGCGTCTGGTATGATATTGGCAAAGGCATGAATATCCAAGACATCCCTACAACACTTGAGGGCATGTATGAATTCCATGAGGTAAATAAGAAAAAAACGCCCGAAGGTAGATCATGCAGCTATAAAAGAGGAACAGTTGGATATACTCATGAATGTAAAGCAATATGCAAGGGAAAATGTGCGTTATGCACCGTCCAATTGGAAGGTTGGGCATCCAACAGTTGAACATCTGTTGACGCGATATCCGAAATTCGCTAGCCCGTTGGCATACAAGCTTGTTCCAGCAATATTGGATCCCATCGATGTCGTAGGATTTGGTTTAGAGCAACCTAAAGCATGGGCAAAGCGTGTTATCGATATCACCTTTTTCCTCCGCTCGATGTTTTTGCGCCACCTTGCATTGCCTCGCTCGCAACCGATGACCCGTACTCCTCTCAAACCTGATGCTGAAACCAATTTGTACAAGCCGCGTTACGATCTGTATGAACCTACTTATCCAAATGGGTACTGCATCTATGAGTTGGGACCCGATAAATCAAGACCCAAGAAATGCCCTGTGCCTCATTGAAAATAATCGAGAGAAAAATATATTGACGGGCAACCGCAATCAGATAACCTACTTCTCTTCTTTTTATCGAGTAAATATTGTTCTGATACCATCAACTGTTACATTCCTTTCATGTCAATAACTTTAACAAAACTATTATTTGTACTTGATCATAAAATACCGCCAAAAATACTTATGTAATACAAAACGCGATTCAAGAAATCAGTACAAAAAGATATATGTCTATTACACGGAACCCGTTGCGGTACCGCCATAATACCCGGGTCTTGCAACATCATGTAACGATGATGCCGGTGATGAAGTCTGAGATCGTGCCGTCGCCTGTTCATCATTATCATTATCATTATTTAACTGAATACGCTTGTGCACTTTCCGAGATTCCGCCGACCAATCCAGCATGCCGATATAACCCAATTGCGCTACTGTCACCATAATATGTCCAACAGCCGTTCCTGTCCAAAGCATTGCAAGCGAGCACTCGATCCATCCAGACGTGATAGCAAGATATCCCAACGGACCAACAAAAACAAAGTAGGTAACAAACATGCTTGTTGCTGTAATTCGTTGATACCCTAAGCCCGCAAGTGTGCCTGTTCCGAGCGCACTGAACATGTTGGTCACCTGAGTAATTGCAAAAATGGGTATCACATCGGCGACTGCCTGAGCTACCAGTCGATCACCTGTGAATAGGTACGGATACGATCCACGCAGTGTCACCAGGGCAAAGGGGATCGAAAGTGCAATCGTCATGGCGACTGTGCCGCCTGCTGCGATGACACGCCGTGTATTCACCAAGGTTCCGCTGCCAATGGCATTACCGACTCTGTTTGCAGTGACGATTTGGATCGCATAGCCAAAGGCAAACATAGTCAAGTGTGTACGGAGTAGGATGGCTTGTGCTGCCAGTTCGGTCTTTCCGAGATACGATGTCACGAGGATTGTGATTTCTTGGACACATGCGTTGCAGCACTGCACAAAACAGCTCGGTAGGTAAAGCCGCATGAGCGGGTCCCAGTCCTTAAATACGGCTTGTCGCGACAAGCAGCATGTACTCGGCCACCCCTCGTAGCCACGGTTGTAGGCGCTGTATATTACCAAGGATCCCAGAATCAGCATCGAGGTCAATGTTAACGCGGCAGAAACGCCACTAATACCAAACGTAAATGGTCCGCCGTATACCAGCATGTAGTTGAATAGGACATTGAAAGGCAATGATATGATCATGGCGTATGTCAGTGCGCTCATGACACCTTGTGCCTCCAGAAACACTTGTAGAAACGTATATACGCCTAGCGCGATGAACCCAGGAAACTGATAATATAAATAGAGCTCTACATGACGGAAGTACACATGGCGGTTCTAAGGGAAAAGTTCCTTTTCATATTTTTCTCCTTTTCGCTTCCTTTGCAAATCCACTGGGATCCGTATACACTCGTATATAACCTTACGTGCCTGATGTACAATCTCTATATCTTTTTGTACATATCCTAGAAAATTGGACGCAGTGTACCACGCTATGGCCAGTGGAATACACATGACAGCAAAAATGACTAGACCCCGTTGAAGATGTATGCCGGTCGTTGATTTGTCTTTTGCAGCTGTCCAAGATTGTGCACATAATGTGCTGATAGCAGACTCTAATGCATAGATTGAGATATAGATAGTAGCATTCTCAATCGTCTGTGCAAGCGATATAGCTGCTAATGCCGTGGATCCCTAAATTTTTATTTATAATTGAGCTCTTTTGCAGAATACTGTCGCATCAGAAGTGGAAGCACCAAAGCGAAAAAATCTACGTACCAGATGGCCAGCAGCGTATATGATAATCCATCGAGCGGGTTGCTGTAGCAGGTTTGCGATGATTATTGGTGTACTGTTTTGAATAAATCGAAATAAATGTACTGTGTATGGCTCTACAAGCGCAGCAGTACGAAGAGCAGTTTCGGTCTTATTATTATCTCCTTGTTGAAATAATTCTTCTGGCGATAGGAGGTGAGTATCTTCATCAAGTTGATGTTGCTCTGACGCCTGGTCTGCATCTGTAACGTGGTCGTTGTATCGTTGCTTGTGAATATGATAGGCAGTAGTGGGGGATGTCATTTACATACACTAGCAAGCAAAGGAAGAGGGGAGATAAGAAAGGAAGAGCTTCATGATTTTTTATTCGGTTCCGGCAAAATGAGCGATAATTTTCTTTTTTCAGGGGAACCTCCATATTAAAATAGCGCAGTATGTCCAATCGGGAGCGCATCATTAATTCTAAACATATTTATCTACTTCATACATGGTTACACTTTGCCACACTGTATGACAACATCACTCTCTGAAGTAATGTTAAAACAACTGGCACCGGTTACTCACCGTGCTACCTATGCTAAACAAAAGTTGATTGAGTTTCTTGTTGTTGTATCGAGATATACATTGGATCTTATGCGCTGCATGCATGCAGCTGCTGCAAATGACCGACACCGCATACAACAGCGTAAGGGTAAGAGTAAGGATAGACCGAGATGTAAGGAGAACAGCGGCTGTCCATCCTCGCTCTTGCTTATAGCTGTACGTGTGTCGTCGGTCCGTTGATAACTGCTGCTGATATAACCAGGTCATATTGCTCGTATAGACAACAGCTCTGAGTCAGTCGATAATATGCTTCCGATCTATCGAAGATCTTTGATTAGAGCAAAGTATAACAAGGTGTATTGTATGCTAGGTTTAACTGTACCGTGTCAAGTTTACTTTTCAAATAAGACGCTGTGTATGCTTAAGACGCCATTTTCCGCATATACTCACTCTAGTGATGGCCATAACAGAGGATATAAACCTAGAATGTGTGTTCGAGAGAGGCTGAAGCTATCTTCTTCTATAGCAGAGTAGCTCAAAAATGACTTGGGCCATAAGCAAACATCAGCAACTGTAGCTGGCGATCAAGGACAACATTATTTCTTCCTCCTCCAGCGAGTATTATTACATACTCGTAAAGTTTATCTGGACGCCTAGAGTATAAACTATACCAATACTTTATTGCTTACATTACATAATCCTGCCAGATTCTATGATGTTCTATGTGTGCACATAAAGAGAATTTTATACGGAAGTGATCTTTGAAAGTCATTAATAAATTTATAAAAGAAAAGAAAATTCCTTTGTAATAAATGCAAGCATGCTTGAATATGTTGAACAGCTTGAATAAAAACACGCAACACAATCTTCATAACATAGGCAGTAGTAATAAATGCAATAAAGGGGTTCCCCCTGCCCAGCGGGACGACAATCAGCCTACTAGTTTCTTTTCGATGAAAAGCAGGGAAATATTTGACGGTATTTCCGTGTAGCTTTCTCTCGTCAATGCTTGCGCCACCATCGGTGGATCCTCGCAAGAAGGTGCATTAGTATAGGACACAATCGCTGACTTAAAGCATTTCACATATCAAAGCTATTTTGTAATCTCAGGCAGAGAACAACGTCTGTTCACAACCGGCCGTTGATGGCCAAAGAAAAGATCTTATAAAGCAACACTCATTAACACGAAAAGAGCCTGTCGGAATTGCTTATGTAGAATACTTTCTCTCTTAAACTTACCAATAGGAAATATGTATTAATGTTTGTCGCTGAACAAAAAGGAACACACTAGCTGATGCTAGCTTCTTTTACGCTTTGAATTTTAACTTGAATATCTTGTCAAATTCCTTACTATACATGTCAAGAGAAAACCAGCAGACACCGACGTTGTTTGCTTATCGCCTTATGGGGTCCCGGTATTTCCAGGCTAATAGGGAGTCATATAACAGTAATCAAACATTTTAAGGATACATTTCCTGATTGTTGTATACTGTTGGCACATGAAAAAGTGATGCCATCAGCAGGATCATGCAACTTGCCCCACAGAAAGAGATATTCCTCTGGGTAGGAAAATGGAGGCGGTGCGAGCGGTTGAATTTGCGGGGCAAGTTCGGTCCATATATTGAGCCGCTGATGGGAGCAGTCATCATCAAGAAAGTACAAGTTTGCTGGCCCCTTTCAAAATCAAACATTTGCGCCATGTCTCTGCCCGCCTTCTTATCGCTTGCACCTTTCTTGTCATCTGGCGTGCACATGTACAATGGCTCTTCGTTTTCCAGTAGCAGCGTTTTTGGTCCAACGATGTTGTTGCCTCCTCAATTCTGCTACTAAAAAAAAAAAGCTGAATATTTAACAGCTGTGTAACACTCCCCTTTCCTACTTTTCTGATCTGTATATGTTTTTCTGGACAGCAAATCCCGTGGTCCGCATTATATGTCCTGCGACAGTCAAGGATCATCCATTTTTGCTTCTTCCCCCTACTCTTTTATCACTTTTTAATTCCACCCATTTTTTGAGTGAGAAAAATGGTCGACCTTTCCTCCTTGATATCTTTCCCGGCGGTAAACAACTTATTACCATTATCACTGACAGAAAACATCACTGATGGAGGCGGTCAAGTAATCGATAGGTGTTTCAAAATACTATTGGCTCCAGAAAATCGAAAGAAGTTCTGGATCGGTACAGCAGTGATCTACCTTGCACTGGTTCGCTATTTCCGCTTTCGCAGTATCAATCAATTGAAAAGAAAATATCCGGATCCAACATTGCCACTTCGTGACTTGGAAGCCGCTGAAGAAGTGTTCAGTGCTCTAACTCGACGAGAGTTTCCATGTGAGTAGCATGTATAACTGGAAAAATTAGTTTGGAGAAGGCGGGCATTTACAGTATGCAAACGCATTTCTTTGGAACGCCAATCTTGTCAAACTCACCAATCTGTTTACAACACAAGTTCTTTCCCGCACATCCCTCGAGCTCGCCTTGTTTCGTACCTACGCAGTTCCTACAATCAGCAATATTCTGCATAGTACCGGTCAGTTTGACAAAGAGACTCTCAAACGCGCAGAGGACACTGGGCTAATCTTGGTACTACCAAATATTCCTTGTATCTGGAAATGCCACGACATGTTTTTCTTCTGTTCTAATTACCATTTTTTGCTGCTGCTGCTGCTACTTTCAAAAATCATGTATATGGATAGGCAGAAACATTGGATGCCTACGCACATATTGAAGAATTGAAAAGGAAGAATCCAGACGGTGTAGTGTCTCAAGAAGAGATCGAAGAGCAACGTCGTCGCCCAGATATCGCCATTACCCGGCTCAATGAAATCCATGGCAAATACCCCATCAAGAACGGCGATTACGTTTATACTCTATCCTTATTCATCATTGAGCCTATAAAATGGATCAATAAGCATGGGTGGAGGAAGCTTGAGCCCCTCGAAATAAACGTAAGTCTTAATTCTGCTTGTTTTTTGAGAAGATGCAGTTGCTAGTCATCGGTAGTGGTGGTGGGAGGACATATCATAAATTATAAAACGTTAACCCAAAATCTTACATATCATCAAAAATATTCAGGCAATTTTTCGCGTATGGTATGATGTTGGTATCAAGATGAATATCAAGAATATCCCAGAAACGGTAGAAGCAATGTTCGAATTCAATGAGGTATGTGCACTTAGCTGAAAATACAAATATAAGGTGATGCCAATCACCAAAAGAAAAATGGGATTGGCCTTTTAACATATAAGGGAATCTTGCAATGATTAGGAATACGCACAAGAAAACGTTTATTATGCTCCATCCAACTGGAAAGTTGGAAAACCTACGGTCGATCTTTTATTAAGACGCTTTCCAAGTTTTGCCAAGAGCATTGCATATACCGTGATTCCGGCTGTGCTTGAGCCATTGGACATCAAAGGTTTTGGATTGCAGCCATCAAGTCCTATGGTCGTTCGCATGATCGGCTATACTCTGTACGTTCGCTCCTTCATCGTACGGTACTTGATGCTCCCCAGGATCAAAGCTGTGTTACGCACACCCGTCAAACCAGACCCACAGACCAATCGCTACAAGCCTCTTGTTGATCTCTACGATGAACCTGCTTATCCAAACGGGTATTGTATCTATGAGCTGGGTCCGACGAAATATATGCCTACAAAATGCCCTGTTCCCCATTAGCAAAGACAAACCACAAGAGTGTATTATAATATGGTTGATTACTACTATAGCTCCGGCCTTTATAAACTTATTTTTTGTCTGTTCTTTGTAAAGATGAACTATTACTTGTCATAATTATAGACACAGCCAAATAAAATACATCTGTACTATTATACGCCAACTGCTGCTCGATTAAACGTATCATTGGATCTATTCTATTTTAGTTATCAAAGATGCGATAATTTATACACGCATTTGTTTAAATTGGTATGGATGGAGCTGTAGTCTGGGAGAAAGAAAAAAGCATGTGCAGGAACAATCAGGAAAGTGTTGCAAAAATCGCATCTGCTTGTTGTATTGTCCGACTGTACTGTACGCATAATTTACACCTCCACCATCTTTGAAGCATGTCTTATAGTATGTAAGAGACCGGTGTAAGGTTTTAGTCTCAAGTTATCAATTTGAGATCCGGATATGCTGTCCACCATCTCGTTCTTATTAGTCTGCCAAGGCATGTATACCCCCCAGTAATATATTTCCTAGTGTGGTATGGGGCTCGGCCCTATTTATTATAATTCTATGTGTCCATGAGTAATTCATGCCATAACAACCAGCGGCGTTACAAACCCGACAGCGTAGCTATGGCAGCAAACGTATTTGCGCGGGTATCAATGCGGCTGCGTATCACGACCGTCCCATAAATATCTGCCCCATGCTATCTAGATTTTACACGTGTCATACCTTCTTTCTACAAAAACAGACTTTCACACAGATCTGCAAGTTCATAAACTTAGAAGCTGCTTACTTAATAAATCGCTCTATCTATTGTGCGGTGGGAGAATTATGTGGGCAATAGCAAAAAAGTGTTTGGGGATTCCAGTCTACTTTTGACTCGCGAAAACGTATTTTTCCGGGACCGAAATGAATTTTTGCCGATCATGAGGTATCTATATAATTGTTTGCTGCAGCTACTGCTGCTGCTGCGCATGAGCATGTGCTAATTTATATTGTATCGTTAGGGAACCAATAATTAAAAACGTCGTTTGTCACAGGAAATTCGTGGGAGAGTCATTGTTTTTCTCATATCTGATGATGAGGCATGATACGAAACTTTTGGCAAAGTTTCTTCTTGCATCAAAAAATATGATACTGCTGCTTCATCGTCGTCGTTGAGTATTGTGGCAAAACGTTTGACCTGGACGACAGTGCTCTTATCTTGTACTTTTCTGTTTGACACACAACATAGTTTGACACGAATTACGGAAAATTCGTCGGGATGTAAGTTCTATCTCAATTGTCGTAGCACAGATGAGAAAATCATAAGACAATCCAGCATATAGTCATACCGTATATAGACAAAGCCTATACCTTATCCAAAAAAAAATGTGGGGTTTTTGAAGTACGGATGGGTTGGGCGTTAGTATACTGGTCTTCGGTTTTTTGTGCATACGCAGACAGCGACACGTTATAGTTGTTGTTAAATGTACTTGGATTTTACCTGTATGCTATGAAGAACCCCATCCATCCTAATCATCTCCCTCTTTTCATTGTATACATAAGATGACTTCTCTACTAATCCCTCTTCTCTTCTTCAACATTCCTTTTTTCTGTTGCTGAAAAACCATGGCATCAAAACTGAGCCTTTTACCTGGTGTTGATGTCATCTCCTGGATCAGTATTCTGATGAACAGAGAGCCAACTCAACTGGGTATTAGGATCACTGCCGGTGTTTTAACAACAGCGTTAGCTTGTCATCTCTTGGTTGTTCGTTTTGTGCGCTATCGCTACATTAATAAACTCAAACGCAAATACCCAGATCCAAGCATAGCATTGCGCGATTTTGATGTGGCAGAGGAAGTCTTTCATATCACTAGTCGACGGGAATTTCCATGTATGCGTCTCTCTTTCTCCTCGGTAGTATTTTAATAATCGATATGGTCTTGTTCTTCCAGATAAAAATCACTGATATCTTTGATGCAACATATACGATCAATAGTTATTTTCCAAACAGCATTGGAACTCGCGCTATTCCGGACGTATGCGGTACCCACAATTAGTAGACTGCTCTTTGCCACTGGCGAATTCAGCAAAAACACTAGCAAGCGTGCCGAAGACACTGAGCTAATCTTGGTGAGTACTGCCTTAGTTCTTCACTAGATTTATCAATTGTAAAGAGCGCTACAAACTAATAACTTGATTTCTTTTCGTTACTACTTGGTTTTATTGCCGGAAATGTGTCTGTAGCTTGAGCTTGCTGATGCATACTCTCATATTGAACTTTTAAGAAAAGGCAATCGAGTTCCTACACAAGAAGAGATCGATGAACAACGCCAACGTCCAAAAGATGCACTTGCACGGTTAAACGAAATCCATGGCAAATATCCTATTTTGAACGGCGACTATTTGTATACACTTTCATTGTTTATTGTCGAACCCATCAAGTGGGTCAACAATTACGAATGGCGACAGCTCGAACCAATCGAAATCAATGTAAATACAACTTTTTTTAATTAGCATCATCATCCTCATCATCATTGTATATAAGCCTCTTATTGACGACTAAAAGTATTTCTAATCACTAAATTAATGATAGGCCATTTTTCGCTTGTGGTACGAAATCGGGAAACGCATGAATTTAAAAGACATTCCTCCAACAGTCCAAAAAATGATCGAGTTTAACAAGGTAGATATGACATTACATCAACACTGTAAAGAAAACTAATAACAACAATATTGACGTTGCTTTTTGTTTAACATTCTATAGAAATATGCCAGAGAAAATGTACATCATGCAACTACCAACTGGAAGGTTGGAAAACCAACGGTCGAGCATCTATTAGGCCGGTTCCCCAAATTCCTGCATCCCATCCTGTCACCTATCGTGTTCGGGTTTCTTCCAGCTTTACTGGAACCAGTGGATGTAGCAGGATTTGGTTTGAAGCCAGCACATGCATCCCTTATCACATTGGTCAGCATAGGCTTCCATATTCGTGCGTTTTTCATTCGCCATTGTATGCTGCCCCGTTACACAACAGTTTTGCGGACACCTCTTAAGCCTGATCCCAAAACGAAACGTTACAAGCCCCTTTACAACATGTATGATCCAACCTACCCAGATGGTTACTGTATTTTTGAGCTTGGACCTGATAAATACAAACCCATGAAGTGCCCTATACCCCATTGAGATAATCAGAAATAAATTATTATATCTGAAAAAAGGGCGGTAGAAGTGGTGAGCGCTTAACGTTATTCGCTTATCTACAACTTAAATATGGTATGCTTACACATAGCACTTTTATCAATTGACGGGTCCCAGCGCACATTATGTACAACCTGAAAGAGTGCCTGGTAATATATAAGGGGTTCCGTACTGCACGATGTATGCGAGCAACTTCGCTACAATTAATAAAAAATCAATCAACAAAAACTTTTGGTATAAGTAAACCTGACTTTAATCCGACTAAGTCTATTGTGATAGGACTTTTATCAAGGCAGACGCAAGGTTTCGGGCAATGTACTTGTCGGGCGAATCACCCCCGAAAGTAAGATGACGGTTTGACTCAAATACGTTCCATCATGTAAAGCTCTTAACATTTCCTGGGGTAAAAGTCTAAGATCTTTGGCATTCAAACGAGGAGACAAATGGCCGAGACAGGCGCTAAAGTTGGACGAGAGAACTTGATCGGCAAAGGATCGGAATACAGTAGTGAACTGGTCCTGGGTTAACCTTCCAGTCATTGGAGCTACATTTTGCAGCCGGGTGGCATGTCTGAGGTTAAGGATTTCTTCTTCTGTTCTAGTTTCGGTAACATTCAACGACACTCAACTGTCCATGTACATTTTATAAACAGCCACAGACAAAGAAGTCCTACTCCGTCCTCTATCATTTGTGCACGAATAAGCTTCGAGTCGGTCACTGACAATAAGAAAAGATCATCCACCGACTTCATCATGGTGGAAGAGGGTCAACAGCCTTGGGGTTCCAACATTGGCTCGGTAGCAAAACCTGTCGCATTACGCCAAGAAGGTAGCACTAACTTGGTCTTTGAGAGATTTTTAGACCATTCGCTGCCGGTTTCGAAATATAATTTCATGACGACTGTTGCTACCATGTGATGTTTTATATAGGGATTGAGAAGGAAGTAGTCTCAAGACGTTCTTTACTATTAAGAAAGAAAACTCTATTGATGGTTTAGCGTATGTGAGTAATCTTATTTTTATTGTTATGAGCTTATATTGTAGTTTACGACACCATCGCTTTATATTGAAACCACTACCAACGAATCAGCCAAATGCCGCTGCAAAGAGGGGTAATGCCTAGAGCCCGATCATCCAACAATCAATAGTTTTTAAATTTGCGTAGCATGGGCGTAAAAGCTCCCAGTGTCAGAGGTGGAATGGTATATTTCATTTAGCGCTGAAACTGCTATTGAAATGGAGAATACCACTAAGCGTCATATATTCTACATGCATTTACACTGTAACCTTGAGATATACTTTTCCAACGAAACAATAAAATAGAGTACCATCGTACCTGGGATCGATCATTTGCGCACAGTTGTTTTATTTTTTAAGACCTGCTCCAATTTTGAGCGAGTTTTGGACACATGTTTTTTGGATTCTGTCGCGGCTTTATATCTCGAAAAGCAATGGCATTATAACCTGAAAGCTAAGATACGGAAAAACCTTTGTTAGTGCCATTTCTTTAAACTCTATTGTAAATATCAATATATTGATACGTACCGTCACCCAGTCGTCGCATGGATCGATCCCAAAAGTCGACTGAACATAGGGCTTGACGCAACATTTTTTTCAGGACGTCCAGTCGCTGCTCTGTTATGCTAAGCATACTCTCTTCCGAGCTAAGCAACTGTTACGCATTCTCATGCTTTCACCAACGTTTGACGTTGTGCGTAAAAAAGTGAAAGTATGGACGCTATAATGGTTTTAAAACTACATGCCATTCGAGTATTTACCTACACTGGATCTTTCGCTCCTTACCATGGTCAAGGGCCATTGTGAGCATTAACTTACTGTTCGCAAGAGACACGTAGTGGGTGGTGGTGATGAAGCCAGCAAAACACGCCCAAAGTCGCTCTGTGGATTCACCATCAGTCAAGTATGTAGCCCGCTAAAATTTGAGGATGGTATCAAGCTCGACATTATGCACGTGGTACGTCTTTCAACGCAGCCAGTACAGTGTCCTCCTGTTTCATCAGAATATTCAGTATCTCCACAATGAATATATCGTCGATCTGTCTTAAAAACCCTCAATGAGCGCCCGAACCAGCCTGGTGCCGGGAGATTCAGCGCAGTGATTTGCTCGGCAGTTTGAGCATATATTGCCGAAACTTCCATCCATAGCAATAGTGAGTCTGTGAGTTAAAGTTGGGAATTGCTTGACTGACGGACGGCGGAAACTAAAAGCCTTGTAGTCGAGCAAGAGGCTCAAACAGACCGCCACAGGCGACCATGCGCAACTGGAGACAAGCTTTGTAGGCCACCCTTGATAGCAGCACCTCGCCAGAGACAGAACCAAACCCAACCACCATCCTCATCATTCAAAAATGTCAACAGTCTCTCAAAGGCAGCAGCAGCATTAGCCGAGTCATCAACCGACGAGCCATCAGCAACTATCCTACCTCAAGGCAATCACTGTGAGTTTCGTCACCGGACCAGAGCCCAGATGTTCAAGGGAACACATTGCATGTGAAGGAGCTCCAGTCCGTCTCGACTCCACGACCAAATCCCGGTACCAGTGTGCACATGAGTTTGATGTGAGATCGGAAAGTCCACTTCAATTCATGATAGTACATTCGAGCACAGCCCCAACATTGGCTGACCGGCACTGATCACGCCAATGGAATAATTAAACGACGATCACTACGCCGAGGCGATATGCTCCAAACAAAAGCAACTCTGGCAAGCGCCCAAAGGGAACTCTGTTCCATAAAGGGCCTCTGGGTATAAGCGTTCAAGAACACAGGTGAACTGGCTCTCACATTGCAACTCGAAGATGATGCTAGAGAGGCGACCAACGTGTGTGCTTATCGAAAAGGAAGTTTCGTTATAAGTGTAAGACATGTTGAAGGCAAAGGCAACGAAGACAAAAGGCTATAATAGACCAAGAGCGAAAAAAAAAGATGGAAAGTATTTCCTTAAATAATGCTAGTTTGAATATCGCATCTATGAAGCTCAGCATAGGGTCATACTAACGACGATATAGATATTTTTCAACATGAACGGTTGCAAACTTGCAAACGTTCTCACGGCCGAAACATGAATAAAATGGTTTGACGTTTCTGGTGCAGCTAGTAACGTATGCCGTTGCATAGGTGTGAAGAGCTTCAAATGACTAACGCTCTCATTTTATGTTCGTACACTTTTCAAGTGGGTATTGCCGAACATCTATAATGTTATTACGCGGAACTCAAGATATACGCTATATGTGATAATATACACCGATGAAATACTTCTCTCGAGACATGCCGCATTTACAAAGGTAAGTAATGGTTACAGTGCTTTTGTTAGCACATCTTTGACATTCAGGAATAAGAGATTGCGCTATTGATACCACCTTGGCACAACGTGTTGCCTTTGTGGAAGCGACTTGACTAGAGCCCCCGACTCAGCAACAGTCTGCATTTTCAAAGCGGCAATAAAGCGCCTATACTAACACGACTGGTCGCGTCCGATGTTCTTCAGATCGTATTATCATACTTTTTTCTATTTTATATAGGAGCTATTTCTTATTCAAATATATGCTATCATCACCTGAGCGATTATCAATGGTTTATACATCACCACTAGTGTCTTTATTTGTTTGACTTCTTTTCTTTCGACGCTGTGAGCGAAATAGGTTGACTTTCTTGCTTTTAGGTTACGTCTAGTAAAAAAAATATAAGGGCTGACTGATCTTTTACCAGGGGAGTATGCTTCAACACACGGGATATTGTCATGGTTAGACGAAAGGTAAACTAAAAGAGAAAGAGAAAGAGAGGCTTTCGCACTAAAAGAGAATTTTCCAAGCGAGTACAGCTAACTTAACGGCGATGCCTCTCACCTCGGTTAATTGTTATTTGCAACTCCAATCGTTATTTTATCCAATCAATGCGGTTGAGCATTTTTCCGCGTCACGTGCCTAACGTTTAATCGGACATTTAATAATTAGAGAGTTCTATGCTGTCAAACCGATAGTCGGCGGCAGATGCTGATAGAAAAATCAGCGTAATCAAGATGATGAGAAACATTATCAATACAGTTATCCCTGGCTGAACGCACATATGTTGAGAATGCGTGGTTGCATTAATGTTATCTGATTGATACCGTTCATATACACTTTCTTCTCTGTTGTATATGTCAAGCATGCACGGTAGTAGCGATCGATAATGAATAATTCTTTTATATTTTACTCTCTTATCAAAGATGATATGTGATACCATAGTGACACTTTTGCATCGATCGACAATGTTTACTTCACGGGTTTCGTTTATGGTAGCCAGCAACAAGTGATACATTTTCCCAGTTGCTCTTGCTTCTTGGCAAACAATTGCGTAGTTATCGACGACGAGCCATTGTACTGAAACTTATCAAAGCCGAAACTATAGTGTGCAACTATTTCTTTTTGACAGGGCCGTGGTAAAAAAAAATGACCAGAATGATCGTCGTTGTTAACCCCTGACCAAGAAATTTGGTATGCACTTTGTTGCTACAACAACCCCCATTATTAATCAAAAATAATTGACATCCTCTTTGTATGTTGTGCCGTCGTCAAGATATCCTTTTGTTCGTTTCTCCATACACAGGAATCCATGGATGAAAGAAACTACGGGGATGAGACAACGCCGACTTAAAGAAGGACTACGGACCAAAAAGCATGCGGCTAAAATTTCATCGTCTTGCCACAAAAAAATAGAATTTCCCTGGTTTGCTATATTGCAAAACGATTTTTGATGCGACGTGTTTCATTATCCATGCCTTTCTTTCGTAGAGTCAGCGGCATAAACTTTTCGTTGACCATTAGTGAATAAAAACTCACAACACACCCCTGCCAATATGGGTTTTCTTTTCCATGGAGAAAGGACAATATATAAATATCGCCAACCCCAGCCAGTGAACGTATTGCTCTTATTTCTCGTCTTACCTATCTCCAGAAAAAACTATGTGGATCGGAAAACTTTTTGCGATCACTATTCTAGGCGCTGCTAGCGTCAATGCGCAATTGACCAACACGACTTTGTTGGGTATTTTGAACACAACTCAGTTGAGCCCAGCCAACAAGTTTATGGAATTGCTGAAGTCTGATGACAGCTACAAGCCTATTCTTAACTTGCTTTCAAGCCCGGGTAACCATACACTGTTTATCCCAACCGATGCCGCTATCGATCAATTGAACGAAACTGCATCGCAGCAACAACAGCAAGGCGATGGCAACCAGCAGCAGCCCTCATCACAGGAAGAGGGAGGTGATGAAGGCGGTGACCAAGAACAGAATGGTGGCGATCAACAACAAACCTCTTCTCAAGAAGAAGGCGGTGATCAAGGCGGTGACCAGAACCAGCAAAATATTCAGCCAGAGGGCACTGCAAACCAACGTGCAGCCATTCGTTCTCTCTATGCTATGCTTCCCCGTGCTGACTTGAAGATCCTGCAATCCTCTGGCGATAATAGCACCAATGGTACTTCTTCCGGTGGTAACAGCACCAATGGTACTTCCTCCGGCGGTAGCAACAATAACTATACGGCCAGTTCGGTTCCATTCCATGAAGGCCCTTATGCCAACTACACCATTCAGAATTTGATCCAGTATCACATTGTCAATGGTAGCCACACCACCAAGGAACTGAACGAGTCTACTGTCCTGCATACTGTTTTGACCAACCGTACCGTTGACAGAAACGGTATGGGAATGCCTGTCGTTGTTGTCGCTCAAAACGAGACTGGTAGCGAAGATGATCAGCAGCAGCAGCAGCAGCAAGAACAAATTCAAATTCTTCAACAGCAGGATGGTGGCAACAGCTCTTCGTCCAATGACACTTCTTCCTCCTCATCTAACGAAACTCAGGCTGAAGTTCCCAAGAAATACATTGTCGGTAATGGCGTTGATTTTGCCAACGTCACGATCAAAGATATTAAAGCTTCCAATGGTGTGCTTCACTTCATCGACAAGGGTAAGCTTTCTTCTTTTTCTAACTCTCTTCAACAACCACCCATGAACTGCTTCTGAGATTATCCGTTACTAATGTGGGGTATTCCCTACAATCAGTCCTTGTCCCCCCTGGAGATCCTACTGAAGTCATCCAGAATGTCTCTGAAACCCAAACATTGGGTCAGATGGTCCAACAGCACGAAGACGCTGCCAATGAAATCAACCAGGCCCACAACGTAAGGATATTTTTTTTTGTGTTAATTTTGATTCAAATTTACTCATATCTTTCTGTGATATGTTAGATCACCGTGTTTGTTCCTTCAGATGAAGCTCTTTCTCAAGCCAACATTAACGGTGGCATCCAGATGCTGGCAGCACTGAACAACCTTCAAGCCCAGTCGAATGATGTCCAGCAACTTGTCAAGAGACATATTGTCCAAGGCGTCTACTACATCGATAATTTGACTGCCATTGCTAACCGCACCAGCGGTGGCCACAGCATCAAGAACGGTAACGGCAAACCCTTGTCGCTGCAATCTGTCAATGCCACCAGTGTCCGTATCAACAACACTGCTTCTGTCGTTCACCCCAACATCCTGACTGATAACGGTGTAATGCATGTCATCGACCGTGGTAAGCCTCTTATTCTTATCACATCTGTTTTGCTATAGGAAAATACCTATCATCGACTTACTAATATGTATTCAGTGTTGGAGTCGAACCAACAACAGAATGGCACACAACAGCAAAACGGAACTGAAAGCGGTGGCGGTAACGGCCAACAGCAGCAGGGAGATGGTGGTCAAGGACAGTAAGAATTCCATAGAGAATTCATTTTATTTTCGGTATTCTTTTTACAATATCTGTAGATAAGTTTCGTGTTTATATATAAGTGTACATAAAAAAGCCAACTAGCTAGTCACTAGCAGTTTAGTTGTTGGTGAAGTTAGGGTTTCTCTTTTCAGCAAAAGCACCCATGCCTTCCTTTTGGTCGGCCTATAGTAAATAATAAAAATAAATTAAATATCTTTCTAGAAACTAGCCCCTCTGTGCTACCTAGTTCAGAAAAATGAAACTTACAGTGCCGAACAAAGCCTGGAAGTAGGCACGCTCCCATCGCAAACCGGCAGAAAGAGGGACCTCGTATGCTAAAAGATGGTGAGAAATATACAATTAGTGGGGATCATGACTTTCCTGACCTTCCTTTTAGAGAGTGCCTCGCCCCGATTATGACTATCCAATACACTTACACTTGTTGACAAGTTCCTTGCCCATCTGGACGGAAGCCTGGCTCTTGCTGGCAATCTTTCCGGCAGTCTTGATGGCTTCATCGACGAGCTGGTCAGCAGGGACGACTTTGCTGACCAAACCAAGAGTCTGGGCTTCAGTGGCAGTCAAGTTGGCACCACCGGACAAGACCATCTCCATGGCTCTGGACTTGCCAACAGCCTTGACGAGACGCTGGGTACCACCGGCACCTGCATATTTTTAAGCGTGGATCAACATTTTTTCCTTGATTTACCCAAATTCGACTTGAACAACGTGTCCTTACCAGGAATGATACCCAAGTTGATTTCGGGTTGACCAAAGACGGCCTTCTCACCAGCGTAGATGATCTGTATAAACGATAGAAGAAAGTGGTAACGGGTTAGATATTCTCCCCTCTTTGTAAATTTACACTAACGTTGACGTTACACACGACATAAAGAAAACCAGAGCAACAAACAACTTACATCACAGCTCATGGCCAATTCACAACCGCCACCGAGCTATACGATAATAAATCATATGTCAGCCTAAACATTACTAATACGTGCTTCACTTTTGGCGCGCTTCCGCTTCCCCAGCCAAACGAGATGGATTCAAGTAACTTACAGCATAGCCGTTGACAGCAGCAATGATGGGCTTCTTGACTTCCGAGATCTTAGCCCAGTGACCCAAAAAGTCCTTCTTGTAGGTGTCAACAAAAGTGTTGTCCTTCATTTCCTTAATATCGGCACCAGCTGCATATGCGTTTCAGTATGATGATGATGGCTCTCCCTTGCTCCTAATTCTGAAACACACACATACCTGCGAAAGCCTTCTCAGAACCCGTAAGGACGATGGCACCAATGTTGGCATCCTCATCAAAGTTCTTCATGGCTTCGTTGACCTCAACGAACAAGTCGTTGCACAACGCGTTCAAAGCCTTAGGGCGGTTCAACGTGACCAAACCGACCTTACCGCGGGTCTCGGTCAAGATATGCTGATAGTTGGAAGCAGCAGCCTCTGTAAATACATGTAGTTGAGTATCAAGAAAAGGTTAAGTCAGCAAAAACTGTTTCGCGTCATGACAGCAGTGGGGAAACATGGTCCTAGAAAAGAGGCGCAACAGTATGGAAGGAATGCGTGAATGGCTGTGTGTTGAATTACTCACGGCGGAGGACAGCAGCGCTAGTGAAGGTTCTAGCAGAAGACTTTTGAGCCGAGAGGGGCTTGGTGATGCTGGTGCTAATCAAGTTTCTGAACATTGTATGTGTAAGGAGTAAAGAAAAGGTATAAGAGGAAGAGGAAAGGGTCGACCCGGTCCTCGGCGGATTGGCTTTTTTCGTGTGCGCGTGTCTGGGTTGAGATGTCATCATCAATGCATTGGAGCGTGGGAAAGCGTTTGCTAAACCGAAATTTATTACGTATTTCTCTCTCTTTCTCTCTCTCATTTAGCGCCTTAACTCTATAGAAAAGGTGGGCGTGCGGGGGGTGGTGGATATCGGATATCTGAGCTTCTAGCTGAGGAAATGAATATACCCTAAATAACCGTTGTGTACACACGGTTGGTAATTAGCACTGTGAGTTTACTAATGGACAAACCCATTATTATATTACCTAGCACCAGGGTACCGGCTGCCGTGATTGTTCCTACATACATTAAGAAATTAAAGTTTTGCACCCTTGAGTATATGGTAGTGCCCTTTCTTCTTTATGCCACCCTTCCTCAACCCTTCCATCCTGTTCTCGTCCTCTTTACCAATCATATACTGAAGAATCTGCAGCTTGATGCCTTCCATCTGTCGCCGCAACGCTTGTATTTCACTTTCGATTTTATCATCCGTTTTGCGCAACTTTTCATGCTGCTCAATCGTTTCGTCGCGTATACGACCCTTTTCTAGATTCAAATCCAAGCGTACGCCAGCTTGGCTACGCGTGATTTCCTCCTGAAGCGATTTACGAAGCTTTTCAATCTCGGATTTGAGCCGTTCGTTGGCTGTCTTCACTTCGGCTACATCGCGTCGTTCCATTTGTTGGATATCCGCTTTTAACCGTGAGAAATCATCCTTGTACTGTTTGATGGTCTTTTATACATGCATGATTTAGTTATTAGTAAACTCATGCACTCTCCCTCCTTTCTTTTGTCGCTCCCTGGCAATTCGTTTCATGTACCTGTTCTTGTTCTGCTTTGCTGACAAGATCTGTGGTCACAATAGTAGTGCTACGATATATATGTTTGTTTGTTGGTGAGCAAGCACACCTGTCAGCTCAATGTTCTTCTCTTCCACAGAACATTTTGCAAACCGGTCCTACCTTTCATCTACTACATCGTCGAGTGCATTGATGACAGCTCGGGCTTGTCCCGCTGAAAAACCTTCCCTCTCTAATAATCGTGCAAATTGTTCGGCATCAAAATATGGCATGGCTTGCCTTATACGCTGCTGCTGTTGTTGTTGTGCTGAATCGGACGTTCGTTGACGTAGACTGGTATGCAAAAATAATCGTTGTTGTAACTGATGTCGATGAGTAACACACCGCCATGGTGCTACTATTATAAAACGGATATATCGAGCGAATTATTCGTTGAGAAAGAATTATGACTTTTGTAGCAAAATCACCTTTCGTTTACCTCGAAAGTGACTCCGTAATTGAGCAGTAAGATTAACAGACATTATGAATAAAGGAGGTATCTGGGTGTATGTGAGAAAAAAGTAAATCAATGTGTTGTGGCGGGGTATACGTTAAATTGTGCACGGATCGCCCTTCTTTCCATATTTTCGTGTCTTTCCGTCCATATTCATCTGGATTGAGCAGTGTGTCCCTGTAGTCGTTGATTATCGTTATCGCCTTTTCTCAAATCGCTTTGGTAAGCACTTAGTGCGACTTCACTAACTGCATTGCCAGGGCAAAACATCTCACATGTATCTATATTTACACCAAATTCAATTGTGGCTAGGGTGCCCAAACCACACAACTATCTTTATTGAGTCAGAATCGGCGTTTTATAACCGATCATACACAAAAACAAGTGTCTGACTCGCAGCATGCTGTTCGCGTTTAGTCTGGCTGCTAAGCTCTTTCGTCTCAAGATCCGTTCAATGTAGTATTCAGCCCACCCAGCACGCATACTGAATATACAGTTACCAGACATGAGGTCTTATTCTTTTAAAAACTTCGCTAAACACGTAGTAACAAAAATGGGTTCTCTGAATATATTTCTCATCGATTGATGACCACACCTATTTTTTGAGTGGACTGCAACAAGATGGTCCGAGCATCGATTTCTATGCGGCAGAGAACGAGATGATTCCAAGACAACCCCAACAATCTCATTCATACTGTCAGATCTACTACAAAATTGTGATACTTTTGGGAATACGTTTTGAGATCACTGAGACTACAGAAGCTCGAAGTACTACAAGACTATTGGTACAGCTCAGGCATTCAACCCATTATTCAACCCTGCAGATTGCCTTTTCTATGGCTGTAATATTGAGCAAACCACTTTCGTAGCTCATTTTAAGATACCACAAAAGCGTATAAATGGCATATATTAGGAAGAGCTCAAGCACGGACTCAAGCATCTCATATACACCGGATTCTTTGTTTCCTGGAAATAAAATAGTCGACCCCGTTAAATTCAAAGCCAACTTTCCACTGATATTCGAGGAATCAAGGAAATGTGAAGGTTGACGAGGACGACTTTACTAGTACTTCCTGTTGAGGGTGAAATAGCTTCACGAACTCATAATTAACGGAGGTTGAGTGTGACTCTTGCCTTGACGCTACAATGTTTGTTCTGGCAAAAGGATCCATCATAAGACCTCTCTCTATGAGTAATTTCATTCTTTACAGTCATGTTACGCCTCTCATATATACTATCTGCGTACTCTTGACTTAACATACTAAGACAAGACCTCTTCTGCAAAAGCAACCTAGAATATCAGTAGAGAAGTCAAGAATACAGAAGCCATCAAGTATGCTTTTCAGAATCAAATTGGAACAGTGGGACATCCCTCATTACTTTGACGCACACAGCTGTTCGGGTAACGATAAATTTCCGTTATTGATGTACCGCCTATTACGCTGAAAATAATGTCAGCACTTTTATGACAGTATACTGCAAGTCATTGATCTAGATAGGCCCATAAAAAGCCTCCTTTTTTATTTACTGGGTGATGGTGTTGATCGTGCTCGTGATACTGGATACAGTCGCATGGCACCTTCTCCTTCCGCACCTGTTCTTAGCTCTAAATCGCCATTATCCACGTTTGATCCCTCAACATCTTCTTGTTCATCACCAGGGACTTGGGTATAAGGATTATTTGGATACGGTCTGAATTTGTAACCGATAAAGATGTAAAACAAGAATGTGGCAAATTCATTCACGGCTTCGCCTAACCAGGTCACATAGCGGAACGGTAAAGAAGCTTGTAGTAACTGCACAATAATGCGGGTGATATAAACGTACACCAAGGTGACAATGTAAAAGGAGGACCACAGCTTGTATTTGTTCAAAACATCCACCTCTACATGGTGTTAAGCACAAGAGGAGAGAGTGTAGTTTAGCAATTTGAGTTTTACTGCTTCTAATCCTATTACTCTCCAAATTAATGAAAAACCTATGATTACCTTTGCCGTCAGCAGATGATCCAGTGCCTAAATGTTTGCGCGTTTGCAGGATAGTCCACAGTACGATACAGCAGCCGGCAAGATCAATGATAGGCAAAAGCATGTTCTATAAGCCAATGATAAATAAACATCAATGCATTAGTTTTTCAACAATGCTAGCGCAAAACGGCATGGTAAATAAAAATAATAGCAAGAAGTTTTGAGTTATCATTATTCACCCAGAAGCTTCGATCCGTTGAACCGACAGCGGCTTCACTGCCGATAGCGGATGCAATGTTGGCAAGTACTTGAAGCGGAACAACAACCGAGATGACCCGTTTATCCTTTGCAGATAAAAATGGCTTGATAAACATCCATCCAGAAGCGAGCAGTACTAAATGGATCAAAATGTTACATTCTTAATGTCCACGAAGAATAGAAATATAAAGACCCGGTTCTCGTTATACACCGCACTATTTGCTGTTACCTATGATCAGGATACTGAGAATGCCCTTGACACTAATATAATTACACGAATGACATTTGTACATATCAGAAAACCAGGCTTCAGCGTTATCTCTCTTTTCATGTACACACTAAGAAGGAAAAAAGCCATAGATTACCTTGCAAACACGTAAAAGCCGATTTGCCATCCTTCTGTCAGAGCCCCAGTTTTTTTGTAGTAAAATTTGGCCTAATATGATGAGTGTTAGGACGATCGCACATTCAACAAAACGTCAATATTCCATTCTTCTCTCTCTCCACGTCTATCTTTCAATACCGAATGCAACGCCTTGTCAATATGCATGCAGATGACCAATATAAACCTGAAACAAAACCCAGTTTCTCTGTGTCAATAACCATTACACTAAGTGCATATGCGTATACATCACATTCGTCTTCTCCTTTTTCCCAAAAAACACACCCCGTTGACCGACTTACATGAGCCAATGCGCGCGAAACACGCGCGTATCTTTACGGAAAACTAATAGGCTGAACCAATATAATGCGGCTACTAGATAAGCAGCGGATGAGGCCCCATATACTTTTGGTAAAGGCGTGTCGCCTGCTGATAAATGATTGTTTCCAGGATTCACTTGTTCGATTGTCAACTAAACGGTTTGATATGTGAGCCTATTCTCCGTCTCTTTCCTTACAAACACTCCTTTTATTATGAACCGTTTTGAATTACTTACCCGGAAAGATACGGTAGATTGTTGTTTACAGTTGACGAATATAACTTGCCAAAGACCTTCTTCTTGTGGCCCAACTTGTAAAGAACTTTGCCATCTTTTGTTTTACGAAAATAAATGTCTGTATGAACGACCCATATCCATTAAAATAACAGTTGGCGCCTGGAAAGAGCGTATCAAAAACTGTTACCTACACCGTACTTTGCACAGGTACTTCTTGAACGATGCTAATACCGTCGTTTACTTCGTCTTTGATATAACTATTGTCGAGAAAACAAGTAAGCCGGTCGGGTGTTGTCTTTTCGTTATTGTCTGTTCCTCCACCAGAAGAGGCGTCTTGGTTACTCTCCTCGTCGTCAAAGAGCGTCCGTCGAGCTTTTCGAATATAAAACGCGACTGTGCCTGGATCTTCTAGATTCGAAAACTTTTAATGAATGAGGGATTTTTAGACTTTAGATTTTCTTATTTTTTTTTTATCTGTCGTTAACGATCAAAAACTTATGCAGGCAATACCTCCAAGTCTTGTAGATTAAGAGACAGCTGACCACCAGCCAAGAAGCCGAATGCAGCCACTGATACAGCTTTACGATCATCTTGAGTCAGGACTAGCTCTGGTACGATGGCTTGCGCTGCTGCGATGCAACTTAACAGTAAGAGCAGGATTGGTCTCATTATTACAAATATATATTATTGCTACCACTATGACACAGGAAAGGTAGGTCGGAGGCCTCTTTTGTAGAAGGATAAGAATAGCGGAGGGACAAAATATCTTGCTTATTGTTCAGTTTAGAGTTGGGGTCTTTTATGTATACAAAACGTTCGTGTGTATATGTATAAGCACGCGGAAAATATAGAAGTTGAAGGGTTGCAAAGAGAATTTTACAGCAATAGTCGGTGGAGAATACAGTGTGATAGAAGGGGATATATAAGCAAATAACGTACAAAGGAAAGGTAGGGAAAAAAGGTGTATGTAAAAAGAGGGAAGAAAGAGCTATTTAGTAGTGAGGATTGTTTGCAGAGGGGTTATGGTATTGTGTAGGATCCGGCATAGCCATGGGTGCAGGAGTTCCTTGAGGTTGAGGTGGACTTGGAGAAGGACCAGGAGCACCGTAAGCCGCATTTGGATCTGGCGAAGGATGGCGATAGTAATCGTCAAACGGAGATTGTTCCGGCACGACGCCGGCACCGCCAGGATGAGGGTCGTATTGCGGCTGTGCGTATCCGTACGACATACGATGTGGGTCCGCTGGAGGGTCGTATGGTGACTCGAACGGCGACTGTTCGTGCTGAGGCTGTTGCTGATGATATGCTGCTTGTTGCTGGTTATGGATAGCTGGAGGTGGCGTAGCTTCCTGGAGCGGCCGTGCTTGTTCGAACGACTGAGGTCGCATACCACCCAAATCCTCGCCTTCTTCATCCTCATAATATCCTGCTGGACGATAGCCACCGTGTCGTCCCACTGGCTCGCCAAACATGTCGTCGTCCGATTCTTGCTGCTGTTGCTGTTGCTGCATTTGCAATACAGCCTGCTTGTTCGACTCGTGCTGCTTAAGGTTCCTTTGAATCAGTTGTTTTTCCTTGAAGAAAATCACAAGCGTGCACAGCAGAGATAGAAGCCACAGGATGCATGTGGTCCACGCGAAACCAGCGGCGACTTTGGCACAAGAGCACTGGTTACAACGAATGTCAGTCTTTTCTTCCTCTTATTTACAGCAACATACACACAACTCATCTCTTCTCTGTACCTGACTAGTCCATGCACTTCTATACGCATCACCATGTTCTTCTTCCATATCACCAGCAAGATCGCAGTTGGATGGGTTATTCGAATGCACGGTCATAGCAATACCGGCTGTAGCCCAAAGACCAGTGTAGAATCCAGTAAAGATCAAATTTGTTCGAGGTTTCATGCAGAATTTGCCAAGACGTCTGAACTTGCCCTTCTTGTCATAAATCCAAGGAAAGACCACCAGACACACAGGAACAACCAAGCCAAAGATACCGACAAACAACGTCCAGTTGGGTCCAGGTTGACTTCCGTCCTGTTTAATAACCACTATGGTGTAAGTAGTGTGCTTTTTGTTTCGACGTAGATAAGCTATCTATGAGCTATAACTTACATAAAAGCGATACTCTGTGGCAATGACCGAGGCGATAATGCACAGCGTTATAAATGTACACAGTGTTTGCACCATGTGCAAAATCGATTTGATTGTGTTGACTGCTGGAAAACCAGCTGGTGCGGAAACAGTGGGGAGTTCCAAGTTGAAAGATTTCCCCATGGTTCAGATTGTATTATGTGTTTGTGAGAAAAGAGAAAAAAGTTTTTTTATAGAGAGAGAGAGAAGAGAGAAAAGGTGCAGAAGGCTAAACGAACAGCAAGAAAATAGGCGCGTTTTTGTTGTATCACTCCACCGTTCCGCACTCGCTCCGACGGGTGTGTCGTTCGTTGGTATTGCTCGACTGCCAAGGTACACAACGTTTCTCTGCCAAACGTACGCTTGACTTTATCTAAGCCATATAGAGCGGTAGTGAATGTCTATTAGTGTCTCTTCAGTTGGCTTTTCTTGTCCAAGACGCAGACAAGTGCATGTCGAGTAGAACAGGGCTCAGCATATGACGACGACCGCGACACGACTTGGTACAGCCCGGCTGGCAGTTTAAATATAGAAACCTTCTTTGCTCCACAGAACCTTAAACTCAGTGCAACAGTTCCCTTTTGCGGCTTTTTCATAACTCTTGGCTCCCCTTCTCCACGCTTATCTTTTTCAGGTCGTTGATCGAAGCAGAGAGCAGAATCTTTGGTGGCTGAACGAGTGTTCTACTTATCATCATCTATAAACCAAGTCTACTCAGTCCATGTGCACGGGTCTGGACGTGTACTTGTAGGCAACTATACGCATACATTTACTTTCCTTGTTTGCTGTCTAGTAGTGCAGTTTCCGATGAAGGATATCATCACGCATAGCTATATAACGTAGTACTAGCTTGTGCTGGGACAATATAGCGCGTATACAACTGGCACTAGCCTATGTTTTGATAGGATCATGAGAATGAAAAACATTGAGCATAGGTTGATATGTCGTCAGAATATAATCGTAGCATCTCAGTGACAAAATTGACATAGCAAGCAATGATATGCTGATTGTGTCACTAAAATCCAGGATAGGATCCTTTAGAAGTTCTTACACAATACAGTAGTCTGCCCAAATCGCATATACTCAAATAGCCGAGCTACAGCTACGTAAGGAGTTTTGCTCTATGTATGTACGCATGCACAAAAGAGGCTTCCATCTGAATCGTCAAACGGAAATCTAGTAGATTTAAGTGGCGCATCATTCTAAACAAACTAGTGCTTACAGCTTTCAAATTGAATTGTGATCGTTAGACGGGTTTCAACACGTGACATTATTACCAATGGTAGTATTTGAGGTAGTTTGTGCTGCGCTATGTAAACGTTGACTATGAAAGTCGCCGGCTTCCTTCTTCAGATGTACTGTATCACACCCCACCATCTTGAATTGCACTGCGATGATCGCATCTACTGAGAAACAAAGGTTTTGACAGAATCATCCGGCGTTCAGCTCGAGACATACATTTTGCAACGTACCACTCTACTCTCTAGATCAAATCCTGTGTGGTGCGCATATCTATAATTGTACTGCATTCGAAAAAAAAACGGTACTCTGTACTTAAATAGTCCGAATACTGTTAGGAAGAGCAATATGCATCATATTGGAATTACAAACATGAATTATGATTTTTCTGTTGCTTGTATCATATCAATAAAATGTAGTGGGCAAAGTTGTATGTATAGTAAGCCATGTAAAGCGCGTCTCGTGCCTTCCATTTAATGTCCCTTGCTCGATGATCCTTTCGACTGTCGCAAGTTGCCAAATATTGTATTTGGTGAAGTCATTCGACAAAACTATGCTATAAACAGTTTGTGTATATCTTGTGTTTTTTGATATATCATGGAAGCTACTATAGAAATCTTTGTGTGAGGGATACAGATGGCCGTTTGTAGCTTTTCGTGCACCTAAAACGACCTTCCAAAACGCTGCAAGGTCTCAAAAGACCCAAACGGTAATCTGGAGATTTTGGATATTCCAAACATTTTTTGTCTGTCGCTGAAGGTTTGTGTGTATTATCCAGTATGTGCTGTCGCATTGTAGTAGCAGATAGAAGCGGTGGATTGTTTTTGTTAATATAGAAGATGTCTATAATGACAAACCCTTTTCCTAAACTTGAAGTATGAACTAATGCATGTTTACTTCGCTTCGATCCGAAGTATGGCGAATAAAACAAAATGTCGTTCATTACATCATGTAAAGAGGAGCAGCGTGGTACAAGGCTGTCATACATCGCCTATTTGCGGGTCTCTCATCGTCTCGCTCACCTTTTTTTACACGCCAGGGTAATACAATGGGACGATCATAATGTTCACTGTATCTATTTTATTATCTACTTACAACATAGCCTTTCAAAGTCGGTATGGAAACGCATAAGCTCATGTTGTTCTACTACTGCCTGATATCACAATGCTCCAAAATAGTCTCAGGTGAAAAGATTAACCCGCACAAGCGAAATGAACTCTGGCAAGCCAAAAATATCTTAGCATGTTTTCTTTGAAGTGTGTGCATTAGACAAAGAGAGAGCGTGCTCAATATTCCGTGTAACCATAAACTCTGACGGCCGCCAAGATACAAGACACCGCTCTCAGCGTTTTTCACCCATTTAAGGCCGTGGCTGGTGGCCAAAGGAATTTCCTAGGTTTCCATCGTCGCCACATACTACTGTATAGGGATTCGCTCCAAGGTATTGTGTCGACTTTATGCGGGCCAAAGACGTTCCGCGCATTTTTTTTGGGAGAAAGGGAAGAGGGTCCTTTTTTTTATTATTTTGCATAGTGAAAGAGTTCATATAAACAAAAAACACCGAAGCTTTTTTCGTACTTTTTAGCACCATTCTAAAAGAAAGCTCATCATATTTTCCTTTCACAAAAAGCAGAACATTCCTTTCACTCGTTCAGCACCAAAAAGCAAAACGCCAACAACATTCTTTTTTTTCGGCATTGTACGGTATAGCCCGTCATGTCGAACCGACACGCGCTCCTTTCCTTGAATTCGTCCCCTCTTGTTCTCATACCACTACTCTTCCTTCTTTCTTGTCTTCTTCTTCCCTTCGTTCAAGCCAATAGCAACGACCAATGCTATGACCGAGGCGAGCAAATTCCTCTCTACTACAACAAACTCTTTTCACAACGCAATCAACTCCCTCACCGATACGCTTCTCAACCATTTATTTGTCCTCCGTACACCGATGACGATTGGTCTCATAAATCCCGCCTGTCAAATTGGCTTGTTGTCGATCAAGATTGGCGCGGCGACTGGCTCGTCAAAAGTGACTACAAGGTAACAAACGCTGGAGTGAAAAAACGAGTTCACAGGCACGGAATCTGACAAGCAAACTTTGTATTCTAGATATCAACGCTCGATAACGTAGACTGCAACGTGCTGTGTACCAAGACTTGGTCTATAGAGGATGCTATGGTTGCGAAGCAGCTCATTCTCGATGGTTATCAAGTAGAATGGTATGGAATATCCTAGTTTTTGTTTACGGGAAAAACTAAACACTTTGTTTTATAGGTGGCTCGATGATCTGCCTGGTGCAACCGCGTCTTACACTAACGAGGTCAATACGAGGGCATACCGCGTCGGATTTCCATTGGGTCAGATCAAGGTAAAATTGAGTTTTTAGCCGAAAAAGGTGTTAGAGCAACGTGGTTGACATTCTCTTGTTATTGTAATTAGAACAACCAAGCATTTTTCAATAACCATGTCATATTCAATATCCTCTACGCACCATGTGAAACAACCGCTACCGATCGTATTCAAATTGTTGGTTTTGAAGTATATCCAGACTCGTAAGTTGTGATAGTAGTAAATGTAGGCGGTGGTCAGCCCCAAATTTTTATATGCATATTTTATATAGTGTAGCGAATGGCCAATGCACCCATACTTCCATCGATTATACCATGCAGGAGGTGACTGAACGTCGAAAATCAGTTACCTTTACATACTCCATCAAATGGAAAGAGGTAATTTACTCTAAACAGCCGATATACATTTTGAAGGAGAGAAGAGAGAAGGATGAGGAAGCGAAACAACAGGATTAGGGATGATGGTGTAAATAACAAGATGGGGTGCTTATCTTTTATGGTAGGTGAAGCAATTACCAGCACAGCGCCGTTGGGACACGTACCTTATTGCGCCGAATCCAGACACCCACTTTTATGCAATGATCAACAGCTTTATCACTGTACTATTTCTGCTCGGCGTGGTATCTGTGATCTTGATGAAGACGCTTCGAAAGGATCAGCTTGTGCATGAAGACAGTGATTATAGAATCTATGACGACTTTGAAGATGTGGTTGGATGGCGGTTGATTCATCGTGATGTCTTTCGACGGCCCATGTATGGTGGATTGCTGGCGCCGCTTGTTGGATCAGGCATGCAGCTCTTGTTATCATTTGCTGCAACAATAGGTAGCCGGATCAAAAAAAATTTGCGAAGAAGGATTCAGTTATTACTCTGGCGGTTTACTGATCTATAGCGCCCTACACTATGGGGATATATAGTTTGCATTGCCAATGGCTATTGTCATCCTGCAAAACCTGGTGCTATATTGAATTTTGCTGCTACAGCTTATATTTGGACTTCGTAAAGTATCTGGAGCAGTGTGGTCCGTGGTTGTGGGTGGCAGGATATGGGGAGGAGCTACAGTCACTGACATAAAGGATGATTTCTCTATTAGTGCGGTAGCAGGCTATTATAGTGCACGAATATACAAAGTGTTTCGTGGACGATCCTGGTTTTTGAACACAGTGCTGGTAAAGATTTTGTTTGTGCGAGACATCGATGTGTTTTCAACAACACCCTACTAAGTAAATTTTCCATATTAGACATCTATTCTTGTACCTGGCTCCATCTTTACATGTCTTATGATCGAAAGCTTCTTTGCTTGGTCTTTACGCTCATCACGTGCAATATCTGTAAAAGGCTGGCTCGTTCTGACATTGCTGTGGTTCTTGGTGTCAATGCCCTTGACATTCTTAGGTGCATTCATTGGGGACCGACGTGAACGTATTGAACATCCAGCACGGGTTACGCAAATGCCTAGGTTTATCCCCGACAAACGATGGTATCAAACGTACAGTGTGAGGTAAAGTGAAAAAGAATTGATGTAACAACCGTGCTTTCAATATAATTTAGTGTGAATTCCATGCTAATGTCTTATTCACGCATGAAAGCATCGCGGTCGGTGGCGTCATCCCATTTGCTGTTGTATTTGTGGATTATGACGAGCTTCTAAAATCACTCTGGCACGGAGAGATCCATTTGTTTACCTTGTATGCTGTCACAGCATGCGCTTTGCTTGCTATAGCTACTGCATCCGTGTCAGTGGTATTAGTATTCTTCCAGCTCTGTAATGAGGTATGTGGGATTTTTTATGTGTATACATCATCTCTGAGGCTTAACCTTATTGACGCTTCTGTTTCTACTAAATACTAGGACTACCACTGGTGGTGGATGTCATTTGCAGTAGGCGGTGCATCATCTTTGTACATGTTTGTGTAAGTTAACATAGATCCGGTTCTTGTATACAGCACTTAGGCTAATCGTCAACGTAATTGGACTTTAGATATGCGGTCGTTTTCTACTGGATAAGAACAGATATACAAGGAGTAGTAAGCGGGGTTGTTTACATTGTACATACGCTGATGGGTTGTGGCCTGCTGGGACTAGCTACAGGCACACTGGGCTTTTTCTGCACCTACAGTGTTATTAGACGGATATATTCAGCTGTTAAGGTAAAACTTCAGAGTGTTTAAGTGCATGTATAAGAAGGGTGTCACAGATTTACAGGTTACTGAATGTGCCTTAACGTTTTGATAGGTTGATTAATGAGACACATACACATATATTTCTACAACAAACACATTTAATAGTAATAGAGCCAACTTTGTCTTCATATGATGCAAACCACAACATTTGTAATAAGAACAATCATTTTTCAAAACTTCATGTATTTTACTACGGAAAAAGATGAAAAATTGGTTTTTATTGTTTGTGAAAGACTGTTGACCTGCGCCAATAGACATTGCGGGTGCTTCCTTGTGGTTCGCGTGGATACGTTTGATATAAAGTTTAGATGCAAGAATTAATCCCCACCCCACTCTGGTCAGGAGGAAAAAGTCAAGCCAATGTAATAGTGGAATGTGTGATAAGGTCTGTGCAAGGTTGTTCACAGATATTCATAGAGAGCTCCTCAACTCTGTAAATCCTCCCACCAACATTGTCAACACAGTACTCGCACAAGCTCGTATTGGAGAACTAGAGAAGCGACGCCAAGCATCCATGTCGGTTCAGTGTCTTCGGCCCACAAGCACGATCGATCTCGTCCTGTACTTGCCAGCATCTCCATCGCTTGCTTAGCTGGCGCCTGCACTGGCTACCCGCTATTACCCACACTAGGACTGCCGTTGTGGTGCACGAGCTGTCAACCGCGGTCACTACAGTCTCGTTTGTCCGCTGCTCCGTCCAAGTGGCAAGAGCTTACTGACGCATATGCCACAATTCTTATCGTATCACCAGGGATGCATACCATTGATGTCATCCTTAACAAACTACCACGCACCGACGTCGGTTTAGCAACCGGCAAATGACAGACTATATGGCCAGCGATATTACACGTCCTTAGAGAAATCGACCGGCTCTGTCACCCCGAAGAGCATCTACTGGACGGGGAGTTCCTAGGCGAAGACAATTCACCACCATTGTCATCAGAGCACGATTAAAGTTCTCCGACTATCCTCCATCGCCCTGTCATTGTTTTTTATCATAACACGCCCGAGACGGATCAAGGGATGCCTGCTACGCCTTGGTCCCAGAGCGATAAAACGATGTCCATTATATTTTGATGGTTCATTGTCTCAGTATATAGCAGCAGTTAGGACAGCGGATACAAAAAAAAGTATGATTATAACCTATTTCCCATTCATTTTCTACTTATACACTGACTGATGTGATCAGTCACCTTAATTGACGCCGTGCTGATGAATGTTGAATGTTGTACAAGCTCCAGAGCTTTCGTACATCGTCAAATGCTAACAAACACTATTACTTGCTTGTACGCTGCTTACCACCTCTGTGCACAGAATGTATACCCATATATTAAAATTGGTTTGAAACTCAATAACAAGATATGGAATGCAAGAGAAACGTCGAGGTTAGTATGTAAAGTATATCACTCCAGCAAAGAATATATGGAGAGAATATATATTACCTCGAAGAATAAAGACGAGGAACGAACATTATGTACAACTAGCAAGACGACATCTGAAAACTTTACTTAACGGTACTACTTTTCTCATATGCATTTCTACATTATTATACAGTATATAATTCAGCGAATAAGTGTACATCAGTCGTCTCTCATATTAAAAACCGTAAACAAGACCAAAGATCTACCCTAAATGTCGAGGAGATCCAGTCATCCCATACCGTCCAAAGCTACCCAGCATACTGTAACCTTTTGTAGGTTTTTGATGCATTCTGTTAAGAAGCTTATCAGCACTGCACTGAATAGAGCCATAAGTCATTCTTCGATTCTTTGACGCACCGGGAGAGAGAAAAAGGCAGCACGCTATAAAGAGCTGCTGCATAACCTCCTGTTACCATGCATATAAGCTTCGATTCGCTTGTTTGTGTAAAAAAAGCTTTGACATTTACAAGAAGTATTGAGCGATAAGCTCAACACTAGCCATTTATTAATGTACTTGAGTATGGTCATCTATGACGCAACGCTTGGATCAGCGACATCAAATCTTAGTTTTCTATAACCTGCTGTTGCCATTGCAACCGCGGACTTAATCCTCTTATAGTAGGCACACTGACCATCAGATAAAACTTTTTTGACATTGACACGGTGTCTGGAAAATCAAGTGGAGCAGCCGCATATGTGAAATATACACGCACAACCAGACACACAGGGACGACGCACGCGCATAACGACTACAACAGCCGTTTCCATAGTACTTGTACTTCTTCAGCTCCCCATTCTTCCTGTATTCCTTTGCTTTATTATGCTCAGAACAAGCAGAATAGTGACAAAAAAATTACAACGTCACGCGTCTGGTGGAAATTCAATTTTCACTTGTTTATCAAAAAAAACTTTTTTTTCTTCTTCACCAGTGTATTCAAAATCCAAGTCTAACATGGTTACCATCATTTACACTGAAGAACCTTTTTACTCACCATACGACTACAGGGACTACCATTATAGTACATCCTGTTACTACGAACCTCCCACCTTCTCGCTCCTTTGGGAATCACATCGGGGTGTAATAGGTTTAACATGAAACAGTTATTTACATATCCTCCTTTAGAAGGGTAATGGGTTTAACACGAAACAGTTATTTATATATCCTCCTTTGAGAGTCAAATATAAATCTGATGATTACAAAAAATTCTTAATTTTTTTATCATCTATAATATTCATATAGTTAATATAAATAGTTTTTATTATATGATTATAAGAAAAATAAAACAAATTGTTTTCTATTTCTATTCCTCCTCCTCCTCCTCCTCAAAATAAATAACAATAACAATAATAACAACAAACCCTTAACAGGCTTTTTATGTTCTTATTTATATATATTAAAAAACAATTATTTGTAATACAAATTATGTTTTTGAAAGAAAAAAAACATAAAAATCAATGATTTTAATTATTTTTTAATATATATAAATAAGAACATAAAAAGCCTATTAAGGGTTTGTTGTTATTATTGTTATTGTTATTTATTTTGAGGAGGAGGAGGAGGAGGAACAGAAATAGAAAACAATTTGTTTTATTTTTCTTATAAACATATAATAAAAACTATTTATATTAACTATATAAATATTATAGATGATAAAAAAATTAAGAATTTTTTGTAATCATCAGATTTATGTTTAACTCTCTAGATGAATATTATAAATATTCATCAATACTTTATGCTAGTTTATATAGAAAAGGTATTCCTTTTCTATAAGAGGTTTAATCAATAATTTAGTGATTACAAAAAATTCTTAATTTTTTATCAATTACTAGATTATTAAAATTGTATATATCTTTTTATATTTATTTGAATATTAATTATGTCATAAATCTATTATGCCATAATGTTCATTAGAAAGGTAAAGTAACACTTTACCCTTTCTAAATGAACAACAAGAACAACAACAACAAACAACAACATTGACATGTTCTTGTTTTTTCCTAATGGTAGAAAATACAGTTGTACCCCGGTTTTTGCAACCCCCGGGTTTGCAATTCCTTGTATATCTGCAACTTTTTTTGAAAAATTCAAGAAAAACTTAGTAGCTTCGCAAATTTGCAACTTGCAAATGAGTTTATACGATTTGCACGTTATCGGGGTAAAAGCAGCTTCAATTTTTGCAATATCAACTGAAAGAAGCATCTGTTGCGGATTATGAGGAATAAAATGATACGGTTACTGCAAGATAAATATGTAAATATGAAGATGTATTTATTGTCGAAATAAAAATTATTACTTGGTAGTTGAGCCAGTAGAATCGGGACACATATATAGCACTGATTGGGTTGAATCAACAAAAGAAATGAAGAAGATATAAGAAAAAGTGAACACACTACATATAGATATAGAAATAAAATGTTTGCTCAAATGAGCTTTCAACTACATACATCGAAGAAGTCATCAAGGGATGATTGTCGGGAGAATGATTGCTGCCTGAGACTCTCTTGAATCCTTCGCAAAGACTTCTTTAAGTCGCAGTCATCGATATTATCCAAAAAGCTCAAAACTCCTGCAATTGCAACCTGTTTTTCTTTCGACGTTGGCCCTGGAATAGGCGAATCAGCGCTTTCGTCCACCGCCCGCTCAAGTGCTCGTCGTAGGTTCGATCCTCTTGCTTAGAGGTGAACTTGTGGAACGATTTTGTCATGCTTAACAGAGCTAATAATTATCAAACCACTAGACAGCTTAATAAAAGAACGGTCTTATATATGCAAGTAGTAACATTTAGAGCTGTATGAATGTTTCCACAGAACGTATCATACATAATCTCTGACAGATAAACAATGGGCTAGTGTTAATAGGATGACTTATCCAGTGTCTATTTGAAGCAGAATTGTTTACCCCGTTACTTGCAAATCCTCACTTTTTGCAAAAAAAAATCAGAAAACCCTCGGTTGCAAAAACCGGGGTACAACTGTACTCAAAATTATTATTTTGATATATTTTCAGAATATCAAAAAATAAAAACTTTATTTTTTAGATATTCAAAGAAAAGGATAAATACAAATATTTATCTCTTTTCTTAAAAAATAGAAAAACAATTTGTTTTTTCTATTTTTGAATTTAAACTCAAAAAGAATAGAATATTCTTTTTAGAACATTTATGTTCTGAGTTTAAATAAAAATAGATTTATTAGATAGAAATTAGCTCGCTACACAAGCTTTTAACCCTTTCAGGGTAATTTCTATCAATAAATTATTTTTTAAGAAAAGAGATAAATATTTATATTTATCCTTTTCTTTGAATATTAAAAAAATAAAGTTTTTATTTTTTAATATTCTGAAAATACATTAAAATAATAATTTCGAGTATTTTCTACCATTAGGAAAAAACAAGAACATGTCAATGTTGTTGTTTATTGTTATTTGTTGTTGTTGTTGTTGTTGTTGTTGTTGTTGTTCATTTAGAAAGGGTAAAGTGTTACTTTACCTTTCTAATGAACATTATGGCATAATAGATTTATGACATAATTAATATTCAAATAAATATAAAAAGATATATACAATTTTAATAATCTAGTGACTGATAAAAAATTAAGAATTTTTGGTAATCACTAAATTATTGATTAAACCTCTTTAGAAGGAAAAAAAACAAACATACTTCTTTCCTTCTAGATAGGATCTTATTCAGACATACATTTTGAGGTGGATTCTATAAGTATCATTATTTTATGAGAAACTAAATGTCTTTATTTTTTAAAAAAATAGTATTTTTTG